ATTATTAGGTTAGGTAAACATGGTAAACTATCCTCCATTAAGAGGAGACTAGTTCGACAGATAACCAATTTGTCTGTAGGACTAGACTACTTCGAAATGAGCTCGAGGGTGGTATACATAACCTTATAATGACTTCACGGTTTAGCTAAGAAGCATTCTGCTTTAAATAGAACAAATTTATTCTGTTTCTAAACGTTCTGATTATAAACGAATCACAATACTGTTATACCCCTTGTCAAATTGATTCGAAACATGTGTACTGCATTGTTTTTATTTCGTAATAAGATTTGAAGTTGTTCCTGTGAAAACTTATTTCAAACAGGATACCACATCCTTATTTTACACAGATGTTGTTAACGTGCCCGGAAATTTAGAAACGATCCTGGTAAACTTATGAATTAATTCTTTAAATTAACTTATTTAAAAGGTTACCAATTCAACAGTGTTATTAGATCTTAATAGTGTTTTTATTGGTATTAATATAGATTTTGTTACGTAAATCAAAGCAAACTAAATATTATTGTTATATACATATGCACATTCATGGATCTACAATCTGTCGATACCTGTATCTTGCCTTGCACAAAGTCATGTTTCAGGCTCCGACTGTTCATGACGTCTTTACACTAAATCCATTGGATGTTAGATATGTACTGATTGAGTATTTAGTCTAAGAAACATGATTTTATTCATTAGTTGTAAGTGGCTTTGATCTAGCTGTCAGTAATTGCATGTACTCTTAAATCTAAACTTCGTGTCTTTTTGTTGTTAGGATGTACAAGTACCCGTCCTCGTCCACTCTGTTTTTGTTAGATGTATTTTTATTTGAGAATTCTCTGAAACTGACATTATCAAGATGCTTGATTTCAACATATTTGTTACGTTTGGAGGACGTGTTTTTCAACAGACTGTCAGAATTCCAATGGGAACCAATTGTGCCCCTCTTCTTGCAGACTTGTTTCTTTATCATTATGAGGCTGACTTCATACAGGAACTTCTTAGGAAGAAAGATAAGAAGTTAGCAATACCCTTATACTTTACGTTCCGCTATATAGATGATGTTCTCTCACTAAATAATACAAAATTTGGTGACCATGTTAAACGAATCTATTCCATCGAACTAGATATAAAGGATACTATAGATACAGTTAAGTCTGCCACATATCTTGACTTACATCTAGAAATTGACAATGAGGGTCGGTTGAAAACAAAACTTTACGACAAAAGAGATGATTTCAGCTTCCCAATTGTGAACTTTCCATTTCTATGTAGCAACATTCCAACAGCGCCTGCGTACGGAGTATATATCTCCCTATCATGATTTCCTTGATAAAGGGTTGCTTCTCAAAAGGAAGCTATTAAACCAAGAGTTCCAAATGGTGAAGTTGAAATCATCCCTTTGTAAATTTTATGGACACCATCACAAGTTGGTTGACCGTTATGGAATAACCGTTTAACAGATGATATCGGATATGTTCCTTATATCGTAACTACAAAACCCTTCCCTTTTCACGAATGTGACCTACCGAATTCAGACTATTTACCGGATTTGTAATAACGTAAGTAATACGACGGGTGCCACATGTGGAGCAGAATCTGCCTACCCTTCTGGAGCACCTGAGATCACCCCTGGTTTTTGGTGGGGTTCGTGTTGCTTAGTCTTTAGTTTTCTATGTTGTGTCTTGTGTACTATTATTTGTCTGTTTGTCTTTTTATTTTTTAACCATGGCGTTGTCAGTTTATTTTCAATCAATGAGTTTGACTGCCCCTCTGGTATCTTTCGCCCCTCTTTTATTTGTATTCAACTGATGAGTTAAGCCTTTTTCAGCTGATTTTCATAGTTCGTTCTTATGTTGTACTTTTTCACCACTTTCCGAAGTTAAGGGGAGGGTTGCGATCCCGCTAACATATTTACCCCTTCCCACCCCAAATTCTGTATGTATGTGCCTGTCCGGAGCGTGCAATTCAGTGGTTGTTACGTATTTGTCTCTGCGTTCATTTTTTGTACATAAACTAGGTCGTTAGTTTTCTCGTTTGAATTGTTTTACCTTTGTCATTTCACGGCCTTCTATGTAGAATCGGCTTTGCTCATTGTTGAAGCCAGTAAGCAGCATGGTGACCAATAATTATTTTTTTATTTCTGTGTCATTTGGTCTCTGGTGAATAGTTTTTCATTGGAAATCACACCAAATCTTTTTATATAATCAAGCATTCTTTCTTTATAAACGTTAAGGTACATTTTTGTGATACCATTGCTGTTCATATTTTCAGAGGAAGTGCTTCAAACTTGTGATAATTGAATTTGACAATTTTTAATGTACGTCAAAAGCCAAATTCTTATTTTTCTTCCACAAAAACAAAAGCTTAAGGAAAAAATTACTCTGCTAAATATAAATTAAATAGTGTTGTCAAGTTCAGGGCTTCCAAAATTTCCTGACGACAGCCGGACATTTTTCAAAGAAATATTTTTGACGGTCAATGATCAGCTGGATACTTAAATGTAACTGAGAGGATGCATAAATTGATATATGTGTCTAAATAATTAGTAGTGTTATATGCAATAAATTTATTTATAACTGTTTTGTTTTCTTCATTCTAAAAATAAATAAAATATTATCCTCGGTATTGTGTCATTTTTCTGTGTATTGTAATACAGTAACCATCATTGCATCAATCAGCTTCAGTACCTGACTGTTCTCATGTTTTTTTTCTGTTTATATAATCTATCTTCTCTCTGTGAGTACTTAACACTTTGTAAATTAAGGCCATCTTATTTGAAACTGTTGATGTTGGCTTTAATTGCAGTACAACTTGATCATCAATACACGTGATACTTTTCTTTTTGTGTATTGATTACCTGACCACGTGACTTTTACAACTGATGCGGTATTTTTAGATAACATTGAGGAGGCCCAATGAAGGATATTGTTTTAAACCGTGTAAAATCTACTGAACAGTGATAACATTTTTCTTTGTACAATGATAAGTACAAAATTAAATGTTTTTGCGTAGCCAGATCAGTTGACTCGTCGATCATAATTCCCACGGCGGGACTTAACTTTACGTCGGACATCACCTCTTTCTCTATAACATCGGAAATTGTCTGAATAAATTCGGAGGAGGCAACATTGTTCTCTTGATATAATTTAGAAGTGATCACGGCACCATTTAACTTAGTTAAATCATTTATTGACTGAAATTTGTCCATTGGTAAGTTGTCTTTAGCAATAAAGTAAGCATTACGGAACAAGGTGCACATTGCGCCGTTGTCAGTCTTTTCATGAACTTTCTCAAATACTGATACAATTGGATTACTTTTGGAAGCTGTCTCTAATTTAAGAGCTTGAATGTGGTCATTGCTATAAGCATGCTCTACAACGGCTGACTTTCGAAAATTTGTCGAATCAGGCTTTACAAAGTTATTTTTAAGTTTATGTTTTTGACAAATGTCACAAAACATGGCATTTAGCATACTGTCAAATCTTAACCATAAAAACAGTTGTAACCATTTATGAATAAAGCTTCTAGCAGATTTCGAATTTTGATCGGAATCGTCACGTTTACGTTTGCCTATGATGGCAGATTTGTAAAGTTCAATTTGAGACAAAGTCTTTATAACAGTCGGAGATTGTCATGATTGGATATTATTCTTTATGATTTTAATTATAAAAACAGTTTTTAATATGAAAACAAGAATAGAGAACGCCCCCTTATTTATTGGACAACTCAGCTTGGTACAGTTTTTCCTATATATTTTAGTAAATTTTCCCCTTGAGAGTACCCCAGTATTTAACACGATGTACAGTGTTAAATAAAATAATATATATCATACTTATTCATTTACAATTATCCTTATTTGAAGAATAACTTTTAAATATCAGGATACTTTTTTAAACTGAATGCTCATTTAAAATAATATCTATAAAGCGTAATTAAATAGGATGTTGTTCCATACACGCTTACATGTTTGACCTCGTTTACCTGATTACCTTTATGTACATTGTTATGCATCATTAATTCTATTGATAAAGACAAGCTAAGGACACCTCATCAAAGGTAACAAACCTGTAATCAGTGAAAGATTTATGGCTTCAATATAACTTATTGAAGGGATAATTGTTTGACAGCTTGTTGTTATTTAAATAAAAGAAAACGTGTTTTTTTCTACTTTTTATTGATGTACACAAGCTAAAGACCAAGCCGTACATTTATGTACCCAGAGGATTAGACTAACTGAGACACTTCAAAGTATCTGAAATATGCTGCTTCTGTTTTATTAAACCCAATTATGACCGAAATATCTTTGTGAAATAGATTGCCACAATTATAAACTAAAATGCCCAAACGGACATTTTTATCGATCGATAGTTGGTAAAAATTGAAATGACCGTTTCATGAAAATGCCTTGAATAACAAAATGTGGCACACCAATTCTATTTGACCGTTTGAGGCTGAGAGCAGCCGGTCTTTTTATGAAAGTTTCGGTCAAGTCCGGAATATATGACCGTTTTGGAAGCCCTGTTGTCAACGGTATACTAAACATCATTTAGATGGGAGCAATCTCTGAGGGTCCCGCTGTAAATAACGTGTGGTTAAAAAAATTGATATGAAACACTTTTTTAAAAGTTATTACATAGTCTCCTTATGTACTGAGAAATAAATAAAAAAAAACAATTACGGAAACATGAAAGTAAATGTTTCAAAATGTTGCTATGGATACTTTTTTTAGGGGGTCATAAGCAAGCTTTTGTCCATATAATTTATTAAATTCCACGAAGGTTTGACAAAGTTATTGATGACTGAAAATGTTTAACCACAGACAGAACCTAAATGTTGAGTTATCAACACTAATGTTACCGGTAAGTGCAAACGTCGCCCAAATCATCGTTTTGGAATTGATGAACACAAAATACTCCTAATGTGTAAATATTTTTTGAACTACAGAAGTCTCATTTTTGTCACAATTTTTTATCATAAGGCTATAATTTTTGTCTGTATACTTCTCTGTGTTAAATTTTAATTCGTTCCTAGTTTCATATCATAATGTAACGTAAAATATGTTATCAAAACTTCACTTAGTCTATGGGCCTATTGTATTTAAGATTAATTAAAAAAATTCTCTTATTCATAATCATTTAATTACATAGTTCTTACATAATTAAAGCAGTAATGTCAATTTTTTAAAGGTCATGCTGCTGACTTGTCATGTAAACGACTATGTGTATGTAGACTAGAGGTCTGGCTGAACCCTTTACCACACTCATGGCATTTGTATGGTTTTTCATTGGTATGGACACGAAGATGTGTTTTTAGATTGCCTTTAAAATTAAATTCTTTTCCACAAACATCACACTTAAATTGTTTCTTTTCGTAGTGCGTCTGCTGATGCCAGTTTAAACTATACTTTTGAGTAAACACTTTTCCACACGTAGAACACGGATAAGGTCCTTCAGATCTTGTTGCTTGTTTTGGTGCTGTTTTAAAATTCGATGCTTTTGCAACAACTCCTTTCTCTTTGACACATTTTTGTGTTGACATCATCCCTTCGCTTGTCCCTGATGAAGACAATGAATTTATCGAACTCGTTGATCTTTGATATATTTCTTTTACTTTTCCATGAGCAAGCTTTGTTTTTTGGGATTCAGCTGAGAGTTCTTTCTCTTCATGCTTTTTTGAATTCGATTCGTTCTCGTGTAATCTGTAATGTGTATTCAAACTGCTGCTTTGAGTAAACCCTTTATTACAAACTTTACAGCTATACGGCCTTTCATTTGTATGTGTTATCATGTGTTTTTCGTAATTACATTTAAAAGTAAATTCCTTTCCACACTGTTCACACACATATTGTTTATATGAAGTGTGTGTTTTTTGGTGTGCTGTACAACTTGCTGATTGGCTAAATCCTTTTCCACATATGCCACACGTGTATGGCTTTTCTCCGGAGTGCACACGTAGATGATCTCTTAGTGATTTTTGTAAACGAAACCTTTTTTGGCATACATTGCATTCATAAGGCTTTTCACCAGTATGAATACATATGTGCTTTTTTAACCCTTGACTTTTCACAAATCTTTTCTGACATATCCAACACGAAAATGGCTTGTTCCCTGAATGAACATAAATTCTGTGAGATTTTAAACCACCTATATTCTTAAATTCTTTTCTGCATGCTTCACACTTAAATTTATCTCCTTGTTTGTGAGTTTCTTTGTGACTTTCTAAATTCTCCAGTCTCTTAAATGCTTTGTAACATATACGGCACTTGTGTAATTTGATATCCTGGTGCATCAACAGATGTTGATTCAAGCCATGTGCTGTAGCAAATTGCAAACCACACACATAACATAAATACGGTTTTTCCCCAGTATGGGTTCTTCTGTGACAAAGTAATGAAGTTGTGGAAGAAAATGTGTTCTCACAAAATTTACACATGTACGGTTTCTCCCCAGTGTGTATGCGCTTGTGAATCTTCAAATATCTTTTACGACTGAATGATTTATCACATACATCACAAGAGAAAGGTTTGATATCTGAGTGTATTAAAAGATGTTTCTTATATTGAGCCATGTAATGAAATCCAGTTCCACAATGTAAACAAACAAACCTTTCAATTTTTTCAGGCACTGCTTCTTTGTTCATCCAAACATTGCTACTGAATGGTAACTGTTTCTTACTATTTTCAGATTCAAACTGGAGATCTTTATTACACTGGATACCATTTGAAACTTTTGTTTGAGAACAGGCATGTTTCATGTGTTTATTGAGTGAACTTTTTTCACGAAATCTTTTAAAACAAACAGAACACCTAAATGTTTTTTCACCTGCATGGTCATTCTGTCTATGGGCCCGCAGTTTACTTGCTTCCTTATAAATTCTGTCACACTGGTCACAGTTAAAATAATTCTCGCCAGTGTGTATCTGATTATGGATCTTTAAACTATATTTATTTCGAAAATTTTGTCCACAAAGATCACAATTTTGAATTTTAACTCCTGCATGACTGCTCTCATGTATTTTCAATTTGCTCATGCGATTAAAGCCAGCATTACATTCAGAACAATTAAATTTCCATTTATTTGAATATGATTTTGAAGGTGTTGACATGGAATGTGTTAACTCATGTGTTTTCAATAAGGCTAGGGAACAAAATTGTTCGTCACATTGGCAGCAGGTATATTTCTCATTTGAATTCAGAAAATATTTCTTATTACTGTTAACCTCAAATATATTAATGCCACCATTGTTTTGTTCCCTTTCTCTTTTCTTATAAGTGTTGTTCTTTTGTTCATCTTTTTTTGAAGCATTGTTGTGATAATAGTTCTCTCTAATATGGATATATAAATGCTTTATCAAATGTTTTTCAAGAATAAATTCTTCAGCACAAAAAACACAATTTAAAGTCTTTAAACATGTTAGACACACATGTGTCTGTTCATGAAGTTTTAAAGTGTCCTTATCTTCAAACATAGCATAACACTCTGAGCATTTAAAATTTTCTTCTAAAACATTTGTGTCACTAAATTCAGATTGGCTGTCAATGGACTGATAATTCATCCTGATCGCATCTACATTTTTACCAGAATCTTGACAATCTTTTCTTGACTGTCTTCTTTCTGTTTGATGTGACAACTCGTGAATTTGAAAATTAGACTTTCGACAAAAATATTTTCCACAAAAGGAACAAAGAAAAGGTTTTCTCTCCGTGATATCTTTATGGATTGGTATATGAAGCCACAAAGAGCTTTGATATTTGAATTTTTTATCACAGAATTCACATGTATATGGTGTTTCCCCTGTGTGAATTCGTCTGTGCATTCTTAAATGTGACATCCTCTTAAATTTTTTAGAACATAGGCAACATGAATAAGGTCTTTCATCTGAATGCATTTTCTGATGATTTTTTAGTACACTCATACGTTTATACTCTTTGCCACAAGGGAAGCACCAATGGGTAGTTTTCTGCTTTTGTATTTTTGTTCTGACTCTAGTGTGAATTGGCGTGTGCTGTTTTAAATGACTTGAATTCTTGAATTTTTTGCAACAAACATTACATGAATAAGGTCTTACATCTGAATGCATTTTCTGATGATTTTTTAGCACACTCATACGTTTATACTCTTTGCCGCAAGGGAAGCACCAATGGGTAGTTTTCTGCTTTTGTATTGTTGTTCTCACTGTATTGTGAATTTGGGTGTGCCGTTTTAAATGACTTGAATACTTGAACGATTTGCAACATACATTACATGAATATGGTCTGTCATCTGTATGTTTTTTCTGATGCTTTTTTAGCTTACTCATAGATTCAAACTCTTTGCCACATGGGAAGCACCAATGTGTAGTTTTCAGATTTTGTGTTTTTGTAATGACTCTAGTGTGAGTTCGGGTGTGCTTTCTTAAATGTCGTGACTTGGTGAACTTTTTGTAACATACATTACATGAATATTTAAATTCTTTTCCACATGGGAAACGAAACTTTTGATTTCTTAGTTTGTTTAATTTTTGTCCTTTGCAAATGTTTCCTTTCTGTTTCTGGTTATTTACCTCAAGTCTGGAACTGAAAGATTTCATGCCTTTGTTAACTTTGTCTTCTTTTGTTTCTTTGTCATTTGTTCTTAAACTATTACGATTTTCCTGATCTCCATTCAAATCATTACAAGCATTAACTACTCTTCTATTTGTTAATGCAGTTGATTGATTGTTTGCTGTGTTCTCTTTTAATTCATTTCCCTTTCGAATGTCTTTTAGAACAACATAACATTCTTTGATTTGTGGGTTTACATTGATAGTTTTTGCACTATCTGTTCTACCAAATTGAGTGTCTTTCAGAACAAAATTACATTCGTTGATTTGTAGGTTTATATCAATTTTCTTTGCACTAGCTGTCCTACCATATTGATTCTCTTTTAGAACAACAAAACACTCTTTGATTTGTGGGGTTACATTTATGATCTTTGCACTATCTTTCCTACCATATAGAGATCTAGCAGATTGACAAATTCGATCATTACCGTCATATGATGTCTCAACTTGCTGACTATCAGATCCACTATTAAATACGCTTGGTCTAAAGTTTTCAGAACCATCATGGTCATCTGATTGGCCACTTTCATTGTTATTTGTTGTAACAGAGTTCAAATCATTAAACTGATCATCACTCAATCTGAATGTTTTCTGTATTTGAGCATCTTCTAAATGTTCACTATTACTTGTTGTAGACTGCTTTTTATTGAACTGATCTTCATTCAACTGATATGGTATATTTGTTTCAATCTCACCTAATAAATCATGAAGAGTGTTGTCTGTTATTACGATTTGAGAGTCAGGCAATTCATTACAAGGCCAATCCTGACTTGTATCTTTCTGGTTTTCTTTATTTCTTTTTTCTATATGTTCACTCTTATTTGTAATTGTTAGTTTTTCAATAATTTGAGTTTTTTTCTTAACACGAGAAGTGCTTGTGTCCCATTCTGTACTATCAAACAGTTTCTCTACATTGCCCCTTTCACTCTTACGTGTCGATTTAATATCAGGTTTATTTACATTTTGTATGCACTTGATGCTTGCTTCAGAAGTTTTACATTGTGCTTCCTTATCTGATACACTGACCTTTTTATTTTTCTTACTTTCTTTGTTTGGAATTATCTGGTTTTCTGTAATATCAGTTTGTTTACTTGTTCTGCTTGATGTGTCTTGATTAGTAGAACAACCTTTGTTATTAAGTGGTGACCATGCTGCATCATCTCTGACACTTCTAGTTCTCCTTTGAACCTCTGCAGTAGCATCATCTTTTGCATGTTCTGGTTTTGCACTTTTGGAGGTGGTGGCACCGACATCATTGCCTTTACTTCTAATGTTTTGATCCTCATTTTTATTAAGGACACTGGCACTCGTATCATCATTTTCTAAAAAATACAGGACATAACATCTAAGTAACTTGAGACTTAATCATTACTTTTGGCTCTCTTAACCCTTTATTTCTCACTTTACTAATCAATCAGTAAAATAACAGTTTGTGTTTGCTGCTTATTGCTTTCTTCTAAGTTCATAGCTTTTAGCAACCTTCAAATCAGTCTCTTTTCGTGGCCCTGCTCTGTGGTCTGGTATTGTACTTTACTTTTTCAATAATTTTGAATAGCTTTATGTTTTTTCTGTATACTAAAAGTGCTTGTGTCCCTTACTTCCCTATCAAACATTTTCTCTACAAGTCCATGTACAATTTTATATATCACTTTAATAGCATGCTTATTTACATTTTGCAATTTTCGCTAGCCAAGAACTACAATCCTGTTCCCTGCTCTCCATCCTAGGCGGATAGAATTTTAGATACACGAGGTAATGATTTTTATTGGTCACAGTTGTAACTGGCTGCTTCCACTCAAAATGCACCTTCGTTAAGATCACGTGTATATATAGAAAATGTAAATAAAAGATTGCCACATGCCGATTGTGCAACAACTGTTAACCCTAAATTATAGGAAGATGTACAATGACAATTGTAATGTTCTTAATCAACTAATTGAAGTTCCTGGATATGTTTCTTGTGCAAATATTAGAATGTCATCGTATATTTTCGGTTCCCGCTTCACGAGAGTTGTAAACACAAGACACGTCCATTTTTACACCTTCAAACTGAATAAAGTGCTGCCATTGGTAAAGAATGATGTAGTCAGAATGGGCGTGACATAAGTCTGCCCTTAGACGGCACTGCATTTTAATCACATATATTGGCTTAAAATGGCAAGGGTGGTGAGTATGGGACAGGATTGTAACCCTTGGCTTGCGAAGATGACATTTTGCTAGCCCTAGAAGTTTTAATATATGATACATTGAATTTTTTTATTTCCCTAACCTTTTTACTGGAAATTAACTGGTTTTATGCATTATCATATTCTTTTATGGTTCTACCTAATGAGTCTTGATAAGTAGCACAGCCTTTGTTCGTAAGTTGTGACCCTGTTGATTCATCCCTGACAGTACAAGTTCTTCTTTTGACCTCTGCAGTAACAACATCATTTGCATGTTCTGGTATTTCAGTAAATGCACTTTTAGTTGTCACTGCAAAGACTTCATTGCTTTTACTTCCAATGTTTTGATCGTCATTTTTATTTAGGAAGCTGCCACTTGCATCATCATTGTCTGAAATGAGCAGGATATATCATGTTTTTAAGGAAACTTAATAATTATTTCGACTTCTTTTATCTCCATATTTCCGAGGAAAAAACACACATTATACTACTCAATTGGTAAAATAACAGTTGGAGTATACTGCTTAATTCTCTCTTCTCTGTTCACAGCTTTAATTGATCGTAGATGGACTGTTTTCAATAACAAATAAAGTCATCATAGACAGGCTTAAAATTTTGAACACAAGATGCAAGTTTCGTCTACAAAAAACTCATCAGTGACTGTACATGCTGTAGAATCAACATTTTTAAGCTTCTTTCATATTTGCAAATTTCTTTCAACATGTTCTAGGAGTTAACTGGTACTTTTACAAAGATCATATGATCAAAAATAAAAATGCAAGTTATTTTTTCTGCAATTTGTTGTATAGATAAGTTGATACTAGAATGCTCTAGTCATGTTATTCTAATGTTCACACAATTGACACAAAATTTCTTGGCAGGGTACTAGCTTTCAATGTGGGAGATAAAGGTTGGTTTGGAATCCAAGTCAAAATAAAGACATGACTATTGAAAATTGTTTCTTCTCCACTAAGCATTGGGCATCTAGAAGAGAGAACAACATATGCTTGACCCAGAGACTCAGAGAGTCAGACTACTGTTTTAAGGTAGGAAGATATATCTTCCTTCAGATTTCAAACCTTGTGAACTAATACATTGAAAAACTGCTCAGTGTGTCCATCTAGACCAAAGTAACTGTATGGTATTAAAAACATTTCATCCTGGTTAAGAGCATGATGAGGTTATAGATAATCACAGTAGGTGTATACAGTATGATTCAATTAAAAATAACTTCAACTAAAATCAATTCACTGATATATAAGTTAAATGTGTTTATATGAGGAGATATGTATACATTGATATATTACAAAGTGAAACACTCACTCTCACCATCATTCAACTTCACAGTTAACATTTGCGGAGATTTTCCATCGAATCAATTTAATTCCTGTAATTCAGTGTTTGTTGTTGGTTTACTTATATCATGTATATCTTCTGTCATGTATGTCAGAACCTTTTAACCTTGCTATAGGTGCAGATTTGCTCATTGTTGAAAAGTGCATGTTGATCTCAGGCTAATGTCTGCATCATTTGGTCTCTGGTGGATAGTTGTTTCATTGAAAACATTTCTCACCTTATTCTCCTTTAGTTGTACATGTATTGCAGTGTAAGATATAATATCATGAAAAAAACATATTTAAAATACTTTTGGTTAAATGATACTGTAAATTCAGAAATTATTGCTCTTATTATTAATTCAATTATTGCTATTTTAGAAAAAGCTATGTACAGACAATTATTTACCATATATCATGTATATCAGAATGTGTGTTCTTATTATTGCGATACTCAACACTGCTCAAGTAGTTGCATTATTCACATGAATAAAAACCTTGAAATAATTTCTGACTTTACAGCTTTCTATACATACTTATTTCTGTACTACAGATAAGTTGACCAGAGCTGGCTGTTTCAGAGCAAGTGTTCACAGTCTCCTTGTTATCTTCATTTTGCTCCCCAGAACTACAAACTTCAAACCAGAGGGTGTCCCAAGTCAAAATTTCACCTTCGACTTTAATCTCGTCAAATGATCTATTGTCATTGTTCTCTACAATATCTCCTTGGAGACTAAATTCCATCATAAGATGTTTTCTTAAACGTCTGGTTAGGATTCAACCAGGAGATGATTGTCTGTATTTCTTACTTTCATATATATAATGAAATTGGATTATTTGGTTTTTGCTTTAAACTGATGAGATTCTGCCTGTCACTGTCTTACTAACATGCTTTGTTAGTCAATGCTTTCATTCAGGATATGTTTTTTTTATTTTTCAGGTTAAGAACCTGATTTGTTTATGTTCATTATTCGATAAGGCACAGATATCTTTTTCAGCATGTTCAGATAGCTTTATAGTCAATGACATCATTGAATCTTAGGAACTGTTGGATATATATAAATATTGCATGGAAATCACTATGCTTTTCTGCTTTAATAGATTCACATCAGTCTGAATATTGGATATGATTTTCAGTTCTTCTCAAAAGCTTCTCTTGTTTCTAATCTGAAATATATTTGTAATTGAAACTCCATGTCATATTATTGGTTTATAACTAATTTGTGTTGATCATTGTCCATGTTGTCATTTTGCTTAGTTTCATCTACTGTGGATTCATTTATTTTCGTGGGTACCAATTTTCGTGGATTAATGAAAACTTACATGTTCGTGGATATTTAAATTCATGGTTTTGCCGAAGTCTGCATACAAGCCTTTAGGAAATTTGTCATTCGTTGAACATTTAATTTCGTGGTTCACCAATACCCACGAAATCCACGAAAATTGGTATCCAACGAATAAAAATGAATCCACAGTATTACATGTTCTAACATCAAACTAAGACTAAATTCTTTTAAACTCAATTTTTCTATTAATATATCTGTGTGGTTTTTTATTTCACATTTGCTAGAGGTGAAGGGGGAGTGTTGAGATCTCACAAAACATGTTTAACCCTGCCCCATATGTGTGCCTGTCCCAAGTATGGAACCTCTAGCCTTTGTTATTCTTGTGAGTTTTTACATTGATTCATAAGTATGTTTCAAGGTTTAGTGTGGAGCTTCCATTTTGATGAAATGATCAACATTATTGCTTAGGGGCCAGCTGAACCCTGCTGTACGGTGTGGACTTTTCTCAATAATGCATTGAAGACCTATTAGTGGCATTAGGCTGTTTTCTGCTCTTTAGACAGGTTGTTGTCTCTGGCATGTTTCCCATTTCCGTTCTCTTATCTATTAGACTTTTAGTTCAGGAATGTGTTTAATACATGGATACTTTCGGTAAATTGTAAAAGTATGATTACAATTAATGATAAAGATCTTGAAAAGTGTCTTTAACAAAACCTGTCAAATATGCAGACCTGCCAACTTTTGAAAATCTCCATGGGGGATTTAGTGCGCGACCAGATTTTTAAGGGTTATACTTATTAGCGGCGTTTCTGTGTGCACTGTTTTTTACTCTTGAAATAGTCTCATATCTCTTTTAAATAGTCGCATATCTCTTCTTTTTTCTTTTGGTATACTGATGATGAGCTAATAAACCGTGGTTTCTTCTATTTGCATGATTCTTGTACTTATCAATTGGCAAAATAACTTAAGAATAGAGAAAAATGGCATTAAAAAATAAAGGATACAAAGGGATAACATCCCCCCCCTTTTTCCCCCTCCAAAGAACTTCTTATCTTTGAACTATGACTCAAAAGACCTCAACCTAAATTCCTAAAGTTAGAAGGATGAAGACAGATCAGTATTAAAGAAACAAGAGGCTCTCAAGAGCCTGAATCGCTCACCTGTTATCTATTTTGCTTAAATCTTTCGTCAATGATTATTTCTGCTTTTTACCCATATGTTCCATTTTAGCCGTAGTGTCTATGTTTCTTGACGTACAAGGAAATGAAGTACAAAATTTATACTTAATTCATTTGAGAAGATTTTTAAAGTTAAAAACATAAAACAACTTGTGTAAAATTGTCCTTAAAGGGCAATAACTCCTAAAGGGGTCAATTGACCATTTTGGTCATATTAACTGTTTTGTAGATCTTACTTTGCTGAACATTTTTGCTGTTTACAGTTTATCTTTATCTTCAATAATATTCAAGAAAATAACCAAAAACTGCAAAATTTCCTTAAAGGGAAACTTCGCAAAAAAATGAAAAATTGATATTATGTTGATTATGTATAAAAAACCACAAATTCATAAATATTAAAGTTTAATTCTGCTAGATAAGAGATCACCATCGATTTTAAATTTAGAGTATCACTTCTCCGCGTGCGGCCATTTTGGCATCATCCCTGAATAGAAACCACGATATATCTATAAACCACAAAGGACCAAAACAAGCAGTAACCTAACGTAGCCGTAATTGAGTGTCGATATCTTGTCAAGCGTACGGTTGTTTTACCCGACAAGGAAAGCCTAAACAGTTTCCCGGGTCACACAAAAAGATTATAATAGACATGGTTGTGCATGCAACCTTTCCTAACTAACTTGATACGGAAAATGTAATTATATATAATTTTTTTTGAATAACTAGTACTATGGTCTGTCGTTTTGAAACTAGTTTTTTTTACTAAGTTTTTGAAACAAGAAATGTTAATGGAAATTAGTTAAAAAGTTCAAAGTGATAAATTAAGTGTTCCGTGTAAAAATGTTTTCGAAAATCTAGTGTGTTCATAATTCATTTATGTAATAATCTTATTTAAATAAATTCGGACCTTCCCTTATCTGATCACCAGCATTGCTAAAGGAATTGTTCCCAGAGGTATTGTGAGTTGACACGTCCAGGTATTCAAGCGATTTCCTGTCGGGCTTTTAAACTCTTATTACACAATTACATAAAGCAAGTTCGTGCATCACTTCACCTCTGAGGGTATTGAGAAGTGTACACGGCCGATAACTTGTAACTTTCCATTTTGAAACTATCAGGTGAATATACATCTTTGTCTTGCGTGTCCGATAGTGATATGCTAGTCTTTACTAAACCATAGATATAATAGCCATTATATATATGACTAAACTCATACGCTTGTTTATAAATAACATTTATGGTGTAAAGAACATTTATCAAAATCTAAATAATTCCAAAAAAAGATTTGATAAAATAAAAATATATTTACATATTTTCCAAACGTAAATTGGGGAAAATGTAAGTAATTACTCGTTGTCAATAATTATGGACATTTTGAAACGTACAAATATTGATTTAACAAAATGTACGCACTTGTCGATCATTGGATTATACGCCTAGATAGAAGGTTACGGAACTATAGATAGTCGCAATTTAGAATATATACATGTATATTGAATATACGAAAGAAACATCCAAAACCAATCTGATTTAAATACAGGTCGATATCTAAGTGTCTCATAAGTCTATTATAAGGCTGGATATTTGATCTCTGTTTTTATTATGAATTGTTGTATATATATATTGTTTGATCAAATATGTGACACTATAATAAATAATTATTTATTTTATTTATTTTATTTATTTTATTTATTTTATTTATTTTATTTATTTTATTTATTTTATTTATGTATATCTAACTTGCTTTGGTTCATCAAAGTTATGCACATAGTAAAATCACAGATTTTTATTTCCATAAGATTATTTTGAACAGTTTAAGAAAGTCGTCATCATCTCAATGGTTGTGTATTATATATAATAATGTAATAATGTGAACATGGTTCTATTATACCTCATGTCAATTTTCCTGTTCCGACATGCATGTAATATATATGCCACTGGACGTACACTAATGATCCCCAAAAAGCTTATTTGAAGAAATAAAGAAACTTCACTCCGAATTGACTGATAGTAGATGTGTTAACGTCTGGTCAGCTAGAAGGTTGATTAATTTATTTAGTTAGCTTAATAGGGATGGGGGGTAAACCATTCCTAATATTGCACTTATGCATAAAATATTAAATGAGAGTAATATAAGAGAAAATATAAATACGAAAAGTCGCATATCTGGTAAAAAAAAAAGTCTCACTGGCAACTATAGAATTTCACGTACACTTGTCATTCTTAATCGAAATAACGGACAGTCATTAAAATACATGCATGTACACTTTGATAAAAAGGGGTGCTGCAGTTGCATATTATTCATCATAAATCTATTTCAAGTATATACTTTCCTGTCATTCTTACAAGTTAACGCAGAGACATGTAACTTTACATCTCTAGTTAACGACAATCAACCATATAAATATTTGAATCTGATGTGACTTACCGTTCATCTCTTTCTTTTTTCATTTTTTTTTTTTTATTTGGGCAGGTACACAAACATTGTTATGTTAGATATACTGTTCCCAGGTTGGGAGGGGGCGGTGGTTGGGGGTGAAGTATATCGAAAGTTACAAAATAAGAACGTTGTATTTATGAATTTACATGAAGAATTCTGATCTTGGGCGTATGTTTCTTTTTTTTTTAAGTTCAGTGATTTAAATTGAGAGAAAAAAATAAAGTCAGAATTTAAATCGTACCGGCAATTTCCACCTAAGACTCCTCTAAAATCATGAATGGTCATGCTTCACAATCATCAGAATTTTCTTTGCATTGGTACATTCTGTATCGGTAGTGATTTACCTTGACATTTCCGGGTATAACAGAGCTACTTGTATATTACCTGTATGTGGTTAGGTGACGTCCCATGAGGTCTTGCGTATACAGGTTCACATTTATAATGGTTTCTGATATAACAAGGTTTTATGACATTCACACTTCTGCATGTTCTGTATACCAAATTCTTATCTTATTTTCAGACCAAACGAGGATATGAATATTTTCCAGGAAAAATATTGAGTATCAAAGTATCAAATTAATTTCGGGATTTTTTTCTTTCTTGGTATTAAATCACAGAAACTTAAAGAAAATACTGCTTGTCCGCTTTAGGTGTATTCTTGTCAGTTAAGACTGACATATATGTCTCTGGTATAAAGTGGGTTTATGAATGAATGATAAGTCTTGCAAAGGTACAAGATATAAAGCACATTGAAAAAATTGATTCCTCCGGTCTGTCTCCATTCAAAAAAGGAAAGTTGACGTTAGATTGATTCTGTTATTTTTTTTAAACATCGTTGGTCAAATAGCTAAAGTATGTATACGTTGTGAGATTTTAAAATATTTTAATAAGGGCATTCCCGATTAGGTAAATGTAGATCGCTGTGGACGGACCAAGCTATATTAATCATGTAACCGCGATAATTTTCTCTAAACATTGAAATATTCACGGTTAATACCCACGATAATTTGAAAAAGTAAGTACAGTGTTTGGTTTATACGCTCGTTTTCGTGGGCCATTTTTATTTGTAAAATTATTTAATTGAAAGTAATTCAGAATTTCGATGTTACAACAAAATACTCACCTATCTATTTTAAAATTAAGCTTACGCAAAATATAAAAGATATACATGTATATAACGGCGATTCAGGTATTTTGCCACCATATTCCTCCCCAAATAATTAATGTTTTTATCATTCATACGAAATGTTGTTCACACCCGTAACGGTGAACCGTGTTGGCTAAAATTCACCGAGTGAAGATCAAAAGAATAGAATTACAGAATGCTAATCTTTTAATTACCTTGAATTTAACCACGCATTCAACAGGTGGTCACTTAGTGTCACAGTACAATACACATTGTATTTACACAGTACTCGACTGAAGTAAAAGCCTTCAGGTGAGAATACAAACATGCATTTGTAAAACAATATCAGTTATATATATTTGTTCAAAATATCCGTCGGAAAAAAAATTCATGAAAATATATTCTATTGTATGATTTACTTTTATTACTATAATCATATCAGAAATCCTTTAAATATAAATTGTACACTTTAATTTTGAAAGTTGCACGGCGGATCACTTTACTTTCTTAATTATTAGTTGGTTAATAGCTACGCCAAAAGTCGTCGATGCGCTTTAAATCGCGTTATTAGATGATTAACGAACAAGACTTACATCGAGATTTATTCACTCCCGGCATGCAAAAAGACTTAAACTACGTCACATAAGTCAGGAAGTTGGAATAAATTAAATTATTAATTCCCAATTTTCTTCTTTATTAGTGTTCATATCCAGATAAAACTTGGTAAATATGTTTTTTATGGTATTATGAACATAATAAGATGAAAAGTAAAAAATCGCGAATTTTCCCTTTAAAACAACCAATTTAGTGGCAGCAACCCAACAATGGGTTGTTCGGTGTGTCTGAAAATTTCAAGGCCGATAGATCTTGACCTTTGGAACATTTTACCTCATGTCAGATTTGCTCTAAATGCTTTAGTTTTTGAGATATAAGCCAAAAAATGCATTTCACCCCTATGTTCTACTTTTAGCCATGGCGGCCATGTTTGTTAATGGATCAAAATTTCGGATACAATTCATAAACTAGATTCGTAAAGGAACATTCATTCAAAGTTAAGAAGTATTAGGCACAATAGTTTCAGAAGAGAAGATTTTTAAATGTAAGCAAACTTGATGAACACATTGCGTAAAATTGTATTTAAAGGGCAATAACTCCTTAAGGGGTCAATTGACAAATTTGGTCATTTAATTTTTCTGTAGATCTTACTTTGCTGAACACTATTGCTGTTTACAGTTTATATCTTTCTATAATAATATTCAAGATAATAACAAAAAACTGCAAAATTTCCTCAAAACTACCAATTTAGTGGCAGCAACCCAACAATGGGTTGTTCGATTTGCCAGAAAATTTCAGGGCTGATAGATCTTGACCAATTGAACAATTTTACTCGTGTCAGATTTGCTCTAAAAGCTTTAGTTTTGGAGATATAAGCCAAAAACTGCATTTGACCCCTATTTTCTATTTTTAGCAATGGCGGCCATGTTTGTCAATGGATTAAAACTTCGGATAAAATTTATAAACTAGATATCCTAAGGAACATTTGGATGAAGTTTGAAGGTATTTGGCGCAGTAGTTTCAGAGGAGAAGATTTTTAAATGTTAGCAAACTTGATGAACAAATTGTGTAAAATTGTCTTTAAAGGGCAATAACTCCTTAAGGGGTCAATTGACAATTTTGGTCATTAAACTTTTTTGTAGATCTTACTTTGCTGAACATTATTGCTGTTTACAGTTTATATCTATCTATAATAATATTCAAGATAATAACAAAAAACTGCAAAATTTCCTTAAAACTACCAATTTAGTGGCAGCAACCCAACAATGAGTTGTTCGATTCGTCTGAAAATTTCAGGACTGATAGATCTTGACCAATTGAAAAATTTGATCCTATGTCAGATTTGCTCTAAAAGCTTTAGTTTTTGAGATATAAGAAAAAACTGCATTTGACCCCTATGTTCTATTTTTAGCCATAGCGGCCATGTTTGTCAATGGATCAAAACTGCGGATACAATTTATAAACTAGATACCCTAAGGAACATTTAATTAAAGTTTGAAGGTATTTGGCCCAGTAGTTTCAGAGGAGAAGATTTTTTAAATAGTTTACGACGACAGACAACGACGGACGCCAAGTGATGGCATAAGCTCACATGGGGCCCTTTGGGCCCCGGTGAGCTTAAAATGGATAAAATTTGAGTTATCTTACTTTGTGTTCAGAGGTGCTCTTACCGGCGGAGGCTTATAAACAGTAAAAGTGAATACAAAATGGCGTTGTTTTTAAATCAGATTTGGACAGAAACACGTCTGATTTCAAAATTTTTAACAGATTTCAAGATAAACGCTGTTTTCTAATGAGTTCATTACAGTTTTCATCTTTCATTTAATTACGATTTTGTCTTGAAACTACGGTAAATGTTGCAAATTGTGATGGTATGATAAATTGGTTAAAATTGAAATGATGACTGACTGATTCTGTTTACAAATTAATTAATTTTGAGGATTTTTATGACCCATCAGATAAGCCGATTACATGTAACAACAAATTATGACACCTGTTGTGATCATTGATTAGCGTAGGATCATAAACTTGTCATAAATATGACAGGATTAGGAGCATATATTGTATAATATATAGATAGTCAAGGGTATAGCTTTAAAAATCAAACAAGTTATTATAGAATGGATTGTGGGAATTCTGACAGAGTGAAAGTTATTTCTTCCTGTCATGAATTGTGTCAAAATAACACTAGTCTGTTATTTTACAAAGACATATATACAGACATTGTTTCTTTGTTCAATAACAGATATGTGTTATATACAGCCCTTTTTGTCCATTTGTTATGATGATTTTTTATTTTTATTTATTTGCTTTGCTTATGCATTACCTGTGCTGTAGCTGCTTTCAGTCTTTTGCTTGTGCTTCATAGTGTTTAATTTTGCATGTGCTACTTGAATACACATATTGTGTGTTACTATGTGCTGATATTTGACATTTGTTTTAATATATATCTTGCTTAGCTTTTATTTTGCATGTGCTATCTATGTATTAACATGATTAATACATGTATGTGCTGTCTGTATGTTTGTGTTGTATATGAATCTGATGTTATTACATGTATATTTTGTTTATTAATATCAGTCGGTTAAAGAGCTCTTAAGAGCTCATGTTCCTTGTTTATTATGTATATATGAAACCCGACTTTAAATAAAGATTACTTTACAGTTTACTTTATTTTACTTTAAGTACACATGTACGACCAAAGTGGTATATAGGGCCGAACCGGTTCCATGGTCGAACGTCTTGTATCTTGCGTGACACTTCCAATTCAGTGGCAAAATTTGATAAACTTACAAGTACCACTACTGTATTTTAAAATCTGAGAAACATGAGAACTTTATTATTCATGATTGGCACACTTTCCACGTCCTCATTTTTGCCTTCTCGATATTTTGTGTCGAGAAAATTCATTGGTTGATATGGAAGACATTTTAAATACAAAATGAAGGACGGTAATGTCTTTGTAATTTTTCAGTTTATTTCATGACCTTTTAAATGGACTGAACATTTCTCTGATTGATTCATCGATCTAGCTAAACAAGATTTTGATTTTCAAATTTGACTGATAAAAAGGAGGTAGATACAATGGCTGTAGGTGATTAATATATCACTGCAGCCTAATACCTTAGGATGCTCCACAAAAATGATTGAAACCGGCTTATTTCCAGTGATCGAGGTCCTTTAGGGCCGATATGTGCATATATATGATGCTTTGATTATTAAAATAATTTGTTTTGTTACATGTTTTTATATTCGGTAAAAAGCTCAGCAGAGCTTATGTTTATATGTTTTATTCTATACCAAATCAAAATAAAGTTTGCTGTTCTATCGTGTCTATTCATTCCTGGACCAGTGGGAAGTCTAATCAAATCCGAACACCTGAAGCAATTATTTCGGCACCCATAATTAAGCATGTTAAATGTAATATAATGTTTTGCAACTTCTAAAATAATAATTTCTTTTTATAATATTTTCACTCGATAATGGTGCCAATAATTAAGTCAGATTGGCCATTTTCCCGTTTTTTTAAAAATTTTTATCTCTTTTTTTCATTATAATTAAACTACTGAGAGTCAGAACTTCTACTATAACGAATATACACACTTAAAGCAGGGACAGTCTACACAAAAGCAGAGAAGTCTATACTAAAGCAGAGACAGTCTTTACTGGGGCTCCCACAGGGTACCCCCCTCAGGTCGCAAGGTCGCTTTTAAATTCGTCGCAAGGTCGCGAGGTCGTTTTTAAGGGAAAGGTACAGGTCGCAGGTCGTTTTTTCCAACATAGAGGTCGGAAGTCGTTTTTATATTTAAAGGATCCATTTAAGTCATTGTTGTGTCGATTCTTGTGTTATTAAACAAGGGACATATATGTTCCTGATTAAACCTTTTAGTTTTAAATTAGATATTTGGACATTTTGCTGTGCCCTTGGGTTCGGTTGTTCTTGTTTTGTTTGAGGCCATCCAGAGATGACTGGCTTCAAGTGGGAAGTTCCTGCTCTATTGAAGTTTGTGTCGTAAGCTCTAGATTTATTTTTGTGTGGCATTTAATGATCAGTATGTGATGTCTTTGTGCGATTAACCAATATCCGTTCTTTTCCATATTGAGACCAAAACAGGAATTAAACTTTTCGATTTTTCAGAACAGTAGTTTCAACCAAACATTCAGTGTTTCACTAGTCCAACACAATATTCATATTGAGCAAGTCCCCAGGACTCTTATAAAATCACCGGGGATGTAGAGCTAGATCTACCTACTGAGATACTTGAACACGATCTATAGACTGATGGCAACAAGGAAATGTCTTGAAGACAGGGGTGTCCCGCTCGGCGCTTATTTCCATTTTCGATGGAACTCCCCCATTTTTACACAGTTGTTAGTCCATATCATGACAAATAAAGAGTACGGTACAAAATTTCTTGGATTCGACTGGAAACGTTTTAGGGAATCATCTTAAACACAAAGGTAAACCAAAGTGTAACTGACAAACGAACGGATGGACGAACACACGGAAAAACTATATTTACCGCAACAATGTTGTCGGGACATAAAACATGAAACTGATCATCAACCTTACTTGGATACATTTGTCTCTTTATAGCACATACAGAGACGCTAGTAGCTAGTGCCCTATGCGCTAGTGATGCGGACCATCGCCCATAGTGTCCATAGTGTATTTGAAGCAATAACCCAGACCAACTTAAATCTTTTTTAAGAAACAAAAATGGTTCAAAAATGATAATAACTTGACAATTTGATAGCTTATCAGGCTCTAGAAACAAAGAAACGAAGACTTCTAACCGACTATAGATACAAAAAGGGTCACAAATAGTTCAAAATTGATTATTTGAAAACTGCATGCTGATTTAAGATGAAAATCGAACTTAACTTGTACTTTATAGTGCTAAACAATTAGGAACAAATGAAATAAATCTTTGATCCGTTCTCAAGTTTTCATCTGGATACCACCAAGGGACGGTCAGACGGATGGACGCCAGCCGATTGTTCTTCCCGATCTAGTTCTACTTGTGGGAAGAACGTATTTTTCCGACACAATTCTCAGAGGAACAACTCAGTCAACATTGTCAGTCTCATTTTCGTCCTCGTCGGATTCTTCTTCAGGTCGAACCAATTGACACTGATCAAGAAGAATGTTGTAGTCATCTTCATTAAGATGAAAATGGTCACAATCTTCTTCGTTCATTGAAGTAGACTCTGAATTGTCAAGTTTCCGGATTATCGAATCTTTTGTAGTTTTCTTTGCGGTAGTTGTTGATGGCTTTGCAAATTTAAAACACGATTCCAAAATGGCAAGGTCGTTTTAAGCGTGGGTGAAGTCGGAGGTCGTTTTTTCCAAATTTTACAGGTCGCAGGTCGTTTTTAGAAGGCCCTCAGGTCGGAAGTCGCCTCTAAAAAGCCCGGAGGTCGCAGGTCGTTTTTGACCCTGCGGGAGCCTCTATACTAAAGCAGGGACAGTCTATACTAAAGCAGAGACAGTCTATACTGTCCCTGCTTAAAGAAATGAAATCTAAGTATTTTTAAGTATTTCCTATGAGTATTTGTATTTAATAGTTTACGGGATCACAAACAAAAATATTATTTTATTGCTACTTAGTCTACTTATCGCCGTAGATCAGAAATTGTCAGAGCTTGATTTTACTTTCACCGTTAATTAACCGCAGCTTCCATGCCGATTTATGACAACTTATTCCCAGCAGAAATTGTTAAGCGAAAGAAAAAATGATTCCCGATAATGAAAGAAGTCAAACAACAACAGAGGTATGTAGTCTAGTCCGGGACCGCCTGACTATATTGACGGACAACGGCCCCTTTCTACAGGAAGATGACAGACCTTTGGAAAGGGACAGAGCTGAAAGGAAGCCCCTCCATCAACATTGAGGTCACCGCCGAAAAAGATAATAACACCAGATAAAAGACCAAATGTATTATAAGAGGCGCCGACAAAATGGTACAAAACCGAGTTAGGGATGTCCGAGGGAGAACTCACAAGCCCAAGAACGTCTTATTGTAGTTACTCCAAACTGTTTTTATTATTATAACATTAATTAACCTGTTTTAAATGTTAACAAAACAAATTAGAATTCCCAAAGTAAAATTGATGAGGTCGATCAAACCGAAAATATTGATTATCAAAACTCTATTTATAAAAATGTAAATATCACAACTTGAACAGTTTTTTTATTCTCGAGGGGCCATTCCTATATACAAGGTGATAAGAAGTGTCGCTGGAATATACCACCTTTTCAAGCTTGGTAATATGAATAGGTTGGAAAAAACTATCACAAATATATGATAATTTAAGGTCAATAAATTCCCCGTAACCCATTTTTCTTGGCGTGTGCCCAACTGTGTTTTGTCAGCCATTTTTTCTCTCTTTTAACACAGAAGGAAACTAAGTCATTTTCATCATATAAAGTCTTAATTCTTCCGACTCTCCGCGAACACAATTCATGAAGTCAGAAGGATTCATTATATACATGTATATATGCATACTTAGTGAGTGAACTTGAAGTCTGAGGTAATATATCAATAAATTCCGTAAAAATTGCATTTATTGCGAATACAGTCAACTCTATTATCTTTAATAATTTTTCCAGTTCCAGATTTATATTTAGGATAAATATTATCCTTTCATAATATGACACGCCATCATTGGATGCATATATCTTGGACAGTAAAGCCAATCAATGCATGTCACCGAAAAAGCTAAGTTTTTGGTTTCGGTCTAAATCTACATCACATACTAATACAACGTCATTAGAGCTATTTTCCTAATGCTTGAAGTTTATATGTCACTGGTGTAGTTGCATGGCTTGCTTGCTTTGTTTGTATAAATGGTTGCTTAAGCATTGCAATTAAGAGTGATCAAACATTTATACAAAAAAAGCAAGCAAGCCAACCATACCTTTAAACTACAAACATTGGAAAATAACTGTAATGGATGCATCTTAGATAACAAATTTAAGAGCAGTCACAAAACGATCTTCATTTCACGATTGAGTGAGTGGTGAATACCATTATGGTTGACAGGTTAACAATTTAATTTATTCACAATTTGATAGAAATTTAGTAGAGTTTTCTATATGAATTGGATTTTGAATAAAAAAGCATAAGTTCACTTGCTGAAAAAGTATATTCACCCGGCGCAAAACGTCGCGTGCTTTTACGTGTTAAAAAACGGTAAACTGTTTGACGTACACAATGATTGGTTTTGGTAAATAACTGTAATTGAATGCATATTTTTCTCATTCGGAACATGGAATAAAACAATTATATGTACTGTCTTTTGTTTCGGTAAATATGTGGTTTAATTGACTTTTGAAAAAAACCTAGTGACATTCACTTCGGCCGTTGGCCTCAGTGAATATCAGTTTTTTTCAAAAGTCAATAAAACCACACATTTACCTAATCAAAAGACATGATTATTTTAATTTTAATAAAATCTGAACGATTGATTAGAAATTGATTAAGACATAATACATCCAAATACAATTATAATACACAAGTTTACAAGTTGACAAGTAAATAGGTATACAGTTCGACAATTTGATGACATTGAAAATACCAGAAACCAGCTCGACAGGTTGACAAGTTGACAATTGAAAAATTAAAAATATCATATTGACCTTAGAAATAAAACCTTTTTGGTAGTGTCAACTTGTCGAACTGTCGACTTTTGTAGGTAAGCAATGTTTTGCCAACCTGTCGACATGCAGATAATTGTGTTAGTGTTACTGTCAACTTGTCGACCTTTGTAGGAAGACCATCTTATTGTTAATGTCAACTTGTCGACCTGTTGACCTTTGTAGGTAAACATTTTTGGTTTGCATTGCATATCCGTCAAGTTAGGTTTATCATTAACCATATCACTCAATGACATATTTAAAAAAAAAAAAAGATAATTCGCAAGGAACTACGTACATGTCCGTATACTTCAGTTGGCCCCAAATTTAAGGAGAAACGACCTATATAGCTGACTTTACGGTATGCCGCCTACACGATGCGGTAGCATCTTAAATAATTCAAAAATTAGATTTTTTTTTACCTAACAGTCAAATTGAAATAATTATTTAATCAGGGTCTAGCTAGATTAAGGATGTGTACAGCGATATATTACTATAAAAATCCTTGGCTAAATGAATCAACAGAAATTGAGCTTATTTAAAATCATCTAAAGATGCAAATAAACCATTTTAATAAAAGTCATAAAAAATAAAAGGAACAAATGAACGGATCGCCAGATATAACCGTCTATGACTTTGTATTTAGAATATCTTCCAAATTAGCCAATCATTTTTCTCGACTCAAATCAAAATGAGTCAAAAATTAGGATGTTGAAAATATTATCATGTGGTTCGTCGTGGTTCACAGATTGACGACAGATTTATAAAAACGGTACTTGACACTTGTACTTGTTGGTTGTAAGTTTAACAAATTTTGACACTGAATTGGAAGTGTCGATCAGAGCATATTCTTTCTTTCTACTTTGTATGTAAGACATAATGTCCTGTGAAAAGTGAATCCGGGTCCGTTCGCGCCCAATCACGTTCGCCCCATGCATGTTCGCCCCCTTTTCACTTTCGCACCCTACACGTTCGCACCCAAAGTCCGTTCGCACCCTACACGTTCGCGCCCAATTTTTATTGGTTTTGTCTTTAATAATTTGTAAACGAGTTTTGGTATATGTATTGCTATAAATATATATTTTTTCATTGTTTCTAAATAAAGTGAGATTCTGACAAGGTTTTTTTGTGTCATGGTAAATGTATTGGCTATTGCTATAAACATATTTTTTTCATTGTTTTTTAAATAAAGTGAGATTCTGACAACCAGTGATCACCAGTAATATGTTTTTGTGTTGAATAATTTTTAATCATGTTTTGGTTAGTGTATTGTTATAAATGTTTTTTTCATTGTTTCTAAATATAGTGAGATTCTGACAAACGTTTTTTAATGTGTTGAATAAATCTTAATCATGTTTAGGTAAGTGTATTGCTCTCTATATATCTATATATATATATAAATTATTTTTTTTCATTGTTTCTAAATAAAGTGAGATTCTGACAACGTTTTTTTTTTTGTGTTGATAAAATCTTAATCATGTTTTGGTTAGTGTATTGCTATAAATATTTCTTTTTTACTGTTTCAAAAGGAATTGGGATTCTGAAAACGTTTTTTTTTATGTGTTGAATAATTCGTAATCATGTTTTGGATAGTGTATTGCTATAAATATTTTTTTTCATTGTTTATGAATAAAGTGAGACTGATTCTGACACACATGAGATCAAAGGAACCAAGCTGTTAAAAACAATTATCTTTCATGTCTTTTATTTAAAATCTTCAAAGTTTTACTCATACCAAGCTAAATACATGCAGTATTTACATCAAAGCAAGTTAAAACAACCATGACAACAATCATGATTTTTAAACACTCAACAATAACACCAAATTAGGCTGTGTATAAATACCAATTAGCAGTAATCAAACATAATTAACATTTAATAATTAATCATCAAATCAATTTAAAACAATATTTCATTTAAAAATTCCCGAATTTTTATTTATGGAAATAAAAATATTCTGATATAAACATAAAAATTTATCAGGTTTTTGATTAATAAAAAAAGGGTGCGAACGTGTAGGGTGCGAACGGACCTAGGGGGCGAAAGGTGTTGGGTGCGAACGTGTATTGGGCGCGAACGGACCCGATACCGTGAAAAGTGTCCACCTGGACAGTTTTTCATAAATTTGTATGTAAGACATAATAGTGTCCTGTGAAAAAATGTCCACCTGGACAGTTTTTCATAGAATTTTGGTATTAAATAATGTCCATTGCCATGAAATGTTGTCCCTGAACTCAAGTGGACAAATTTTTACTGCAACAGTTATGAAATAGTGTCCACCCACTGGACAAGTTTTCACAGTAGTTGCTAATATGAGGCACACGTTGTTACCTGTGAAAGGGGACGAAGTCCGTATTCATTATTTTTTTTAATTAAAGCATATTTTAACTCCAGAATCTGTTAAAAAGGAAACGGAAATACGTCCTGTTGCATACCTGCCAACCTCTGAAACCTTCAAAGAGGGAGATCTCCCTCACAGCTATGACAGCTGAGGGGGAGATTTTGCGCGAACGACATTTTCAAGTGAAATATATGACGTGTTTATTTATTTATCTACGAAACACATATAAGAGTTTATAGATATACTTTGTTTCTTTAAATATGGTTATATCCTACAGAAGGTGTGTTGTTTGTTTCTTTCCTATTTCATCAACTTTGACATTTGAATCACTTCCAGACAACTTTCACCCCAGACACCTCTGTTATAAGAGAGCAATCATATTGTCACAGGTGCATTTTGTGTGTGTACTTATCTATTTGACTAAATTTGGTTCAATACATATCTTATTAATTTCAATATAAACATTGAATAGAAGTATAGATCTTTTAAGTGACTTTTAAAATATAATTATTTTTTTTTTGTCTTAAGGCATACAAAATCTTTTAATTGCCCTTCTTTTATGATTCTTTGTTTAATTTGTATTTAGTTTATATTGTTTTATCAATTCACATTATTTTAAGAAGGGTAACTTAAAACAGGATTAAACAGGGGAAGTAACCCGAAATTTCTTTGAAGTGTTTTGCTTCAAAAGTCGTTAATTATCGTTAATTAGTACTATGTTTGACACCCAAGCTGTCAAGTGAAGCCATTTAATTTCACATGGTCTGTGATTTACAGGTAATTACAACCCTAATCAGTGAGACAAAAACGTAATTACTGTTGACTTGTCATTCAAGGTTAAAATATCCCAAAGGGGGAGATTCTATACTCCCGCGCAGGAGGGTACCGGCAAGCGGGAGATTTCCCGTTTTTCGCCATTTGAGCGGGAGTCTCCCGCTCAAAACGGGAGGGTTGGCAGGTATGCCTGTTGTTAGGGATTTTAGTTGTGACTTCATTTTCAATGTAAACAAAGAAACACTATGATTTCATTAGTATTTTGATTTTTATATTGATTTTTAGTTTTATTGATTTGCATACTGTTATAAGGTACGTCCCCTAAATATTTTACTCAAATCCCGAGATAAAAGATACCGGAAAAGATTTCTGCGCAGATGCGGGAAAATAAAAAAGTTAGAAAAAAAAAGTTAACGATTTTGAGTTCATTAGGAGATTGAATTTTTAATTTTTTTTTTTATTGATTTTTCTACTGTAATTGGGGACTTCGTCCCCATATTCAATTGTGTCCTCCAAGGGAAGTAATACAAAGGTCATTAAAATGTTTTAATATACTTGAATTTTAATAAAAACTGAACGATTGATTAGAAATTGATTAATATACAAATGTAAACAAATAGTGGATGGAAGTGAATATAGAGAAGAAATGCCCAGCTAATGCTAATGACAATAAGAAGGAAGTGTGTAAAGTATAAAATCAAATGTGAAGCACTTTACTATATTTATTATGAGAAGGAGGCAAAAGAAAATATAGAATTTTGGTATTAAATATTGCCCATTGCCATGAAATATTGTTCCCTAAGTGGACAGCATTTTACAGCAACAGTTATGAAATATGGTCCACCTACGTATACACAGGACAATTTTTTCGTAGTAATTGTTGATAAATTGTGTCCTCCAAGGAAAATAATACTGAACAGCAATTGTTACTTATTTGAATTTAAATCATTATACATGTATATATATTTAAAAATATAAATAAGAAGATACAGATAGTATGAGTGCCAATGAGACAACTCTCTGTCAAAGTAACAAAGTTTGCAATTATAGGTAAAAATACGTCCAGTTATGAGTAATAACAAGGCAATGGATATCATTTAATAATTTAATCATATCAAAAAATGTTCTGGCAGACATAATGTCCTGTGAAAAAATGTCCACCTGGACATAATTCAAGTATTAAATAATGTCCATGTTCATGGTCACTTTTTCATACCTGAGGACATATTGTGCCCAGGACACATTAAAATAAGTAAATATTGTCCATGGACAGTATTTACTATGAAATAATTTCCGGTGGACATAATTTCATGGGGGACATTATTAAACCCTACATGTACACCCCTCCACTATCTGGAGCACCACAGGGTTCTGTAATCAGAGCAAAGGGTTTTAAAAAATATAAAACTTCTTCTGAATGTGCGGGCCTACATTATATAATATATATAGAGATTTTGTTGTTTTTTAAAGTTCAGACAGAATTGGATAGTTAGCATCAAATTACATAGCTGCGGATCTCTAACGGTCATTGTTTGTCCTATTACAAGTGATGAAGAGAAAATTCAAATACACAGTCTTACACATAAACCTTACACTGTAAGTTACAGTTCCAAACCCAACTTATTTCATCATGTTCATGGATCCTACAAGTATTTCTGAAAATCTTTTTGGAATGAATTGATATTTGTTATTTGATAAATTTGAAACAAAGACGCTGAATACAGTGGCGGATCCAGAAATTTTCATAATTGGGTGCCCACTGACTGCCTAAGAGGGGGCCCACTCCAGTCATGCTTCAGTGATTCCCTATATAATCAACCAAATTTTTCCCACTAAAGGGGGCCCTGCCAACCCCTAATTCCACCTCTGGAATATATATTATTTGTAAACAGAGAGCATGATTTTCACTTATACAAGGTTGCTTTTCTCCTCTGGCTCTGGGACTTGAACCAGCCAGGAAGTTGTAACCTCTGTGTTACATGGCAGCACTCTAACCAAGTACATTATAACAATGAATACAGCATAATGATATAACATGTTATAATTAAGAAGCTAAAATCTCCTTTTTATATATACCAGACATTTACGTATATAAGAACTTGTCACTTTCAGGACATTTAAAAAATTGCTATTAATGCAACATTTCATATTAGCTGATTCTCACTACAGCTGTATTATAATATTGTAGTTAGAAATTTTTTAACAATTCAGTAAAAAGTGATTTTCATCTACTACTTCACCCAATTTACATACATTACAAACTCGTTCATTGATACAAAAAAAAAAAACATAAAAAAATGATAATCAAGGAGGAGATTAAAAATCTATGCATGAAAAGTAATGCCTGGATCTCTCCAAAGCAGCAATCAATTGGTGTCAAATGAGAATCGTTTTCCACCCCTATTTTAATGGTTTATCCCTTATATATATATTTATACAAAAACAAACACAGACCTCATTTTTTCTGCTTTTGCAATGCAGTTCTATTATTTATAGACTATCAATTTATAACAGTCCTTAAAAAGCTTGTAATAATGAAATAGAGTTGCCAACATCCTTCATAAAGGAATAAAGGGCTAACAAATGAGTTCATCTGCTGTATACTAGGTATATGCCATAAGAAAAAAGAAGACATATGACAATATATGACACTTACATGTAACATCCTGGTAAACAGGGAAATTTTAAATACCATCTTGTTTCTAAAAATTATAGAATCACACCCATAAGGGAGCTACCATTTGATTTTTATGGAGGGGCCAGGATGAAAAATTTTGTCCTGCATTTTTTTTAGTTGTAATCTCTGTCCTGCCTTTTTATTTTTCACTCTATTAGGTCCTGCTTTTTTTATTAGTTTATCCATACTTTTCTTACATAAATTGTCATCCTGCCTTTTTTTTTTTGCCAAGTTGCTCATTCTGCCTTTTTTTTTACTCAAAACTCTTGTCCTGCCTTCATTTTCAAATTTCATCCTAGCCCCCCCCCCTCCCCCCCCCCCCAGAAAAATCAAAAGGTAGCTCCCTAACACAACCTATAAGAAAACCAATTCAGATAGCATCACTTTCAAGAAATATAGCATAACATTAACATGATGCTTAAAGGTCCTGGGGAGAACACTGGTTGTTAGGGACACTTGCCAATATCTTTTTAGTTAATGGTAACCATACTTTTACAATTTACTGAGACGTGCCTATATTATATATGTTCCTTACCTAAACATGCTAAACTAAAAAGTCTAATAGAATAGAGAACAGAAACTGGCAATATGTCATAGAAACAACAACCTGACCAGAGAGCAGAAAACAGTCCGAGGACACCAATCATGTATCTTTAACCCAGCAACAACATTCTACTACCAAACTGAAAGGCAGGCTTCATATGCCTCCTAGACAATAATGTATACTAGTTCAGCAAAATGAACACCACACTAAAAGAGGGACGAAAGATACCAGAGGGACAGTCAAACTCATAGATCGAAAACAAACTGACAATGCCATGGCCAAAAATAAAAAGACAAACAGACAAATAATAGTACAGATGACATAACATAGAAAACCAAAGACTAATCAAAACGAACCCCACCAAAAACTGGGTAAACTGCAAAACTTACAAATGAACCAAAACTCAAAATAAAAAAAAAACACACAAGACTAACAACACTGAACAAAGGCTAGAGGTTCCTAGTAAGATTGGGACAGACATACAAATCTGGTGAGTTAAACATGTTTTGTTAGATTTCAACCCTCCCCTTATACCTCTATCCAATGGGGAATGAACCAAAAACTCAGCAATACTCACAGCATGCACAGTAAAACTCAGTTTTAAAGAAGTCTTCGGCAGATGTTAGAATAGGTACAAGTAATAGAAGAAATTCACAAAGATGACAATGATCATCATAGCAATACACATATAAATTAATAATAGACTGATCAATAATATTGGTTTCAATTATTTCAGATAAAGACAAGAGAAGCTCTTGAGTGGAACTGAATATTATTTCCAATATTCACTCTGGTGTGAATCCTATCAGAAAATGATTGCTCTCCATGCAATATATCCAATAGTTTATAAGTTTTAATGATGTCATTGACAATTAAGCTACCTGAGGATGCTGAAAAAAATATCTGTGTCATGACCAAAAAATGAACTCAAACAATTAAGGTGCTTTACCTGTAAATTAGAAACAAAACCTGAATGAAAGCATTGACATGCATTGATGTTAGTAGGACAGAACGAGCAGGGTGCCATAAGTTTAAAGCCAAAAATAAAAATTATAATCAAATTTTTCTAGGAATTAAGATGAACAGACAAATACTCATTTTCAAAATAGCATCCTTACCCAGCTGAAGGGAACAATCTATTTTATGATGGAATTGAGTCTTCAAGAAGATATCTTACAGAACAATGACAATAGATCATCTGATGAGATTAAAGTTGAAGGTGAAATTTTGACATGGGATACCCTCTGGTTTGAAGTTTGTAGTTCTGGGGAGCACAATGAAGATAACAAGGAAACTGTGAACACTTTCTTTGAAACATCCAGCTCTGATCAAGTTATTTGTAGTACAGAAATAAGTATGTTTAAGTGAGCTGTAAATACAGTAATTATTGTGAGGTTTTTATTGATGTGAATAATGCAAGTCATTGAGTATCACAATAATAAGAACTTGCATTCTGATACCTGGTACATACATGTATGTCTGTGCCTATTTTTTTTTCTAAAATTGTAATAATTTCATTAATAAGGCAGATTTCAAATAAATGGAGCTAAAACTTCTCATAATATTATTTCTGAATTTACAGTATTATTCAACCCAAGCCATTTTAAATATGTTTCTTTTTTGTGATGTTATATCTTACACTGCAATACAATTTAACGAGAATAAGGTGAGGTACGATTTCAATGAAACAACTATCCACCAGAGACTAAATGATTCAGACGCTAGCAAATAGAGGCCTAGTCACCATACAGCTTTCATCAATGAGAAAACCTGTACCTCATATTAAGGTTAAAAGGTCCTGACATAAAAAAAAATTGTGTCAACTGAACATTAAAAAACATGACTAGAGCAGTCCAGCATATACTGATCTATTTGACAAATTGCAGAAAACTTCACTTGCATTTTCTTTTAATCATGTGATATTTGTAAAAGTACCAGTTAGCTCCTAGAACATATTGAAAGAAACTTGAATATATAAAAAAAACTTAAAAAGTGTTGATTTAAGAGTCACTGCATGATGAGTCTTTTGTGGATGAAACAGGCAGTTGGCATTAAAAAATGTAAACCTGGTATATGAGCTATGATGAGAATATTTATTATTGAATACATGAAAGTTTGAAAACAGAAAATAGAAGGTCAATTAAAGCAATGAACAGAGGGAAAGGAATTAAGTAGCAAACTTCAACTGTTATTTTACTGATTGAGTAGTATAGTGTATGGCATATCTTTAAACATATAGAGATTATAGAGGCCAAAATAAGGATTTAAAAGTTCTTTAAATACACATACTGTCCTGTTCATTTTCAGAAAATGATGATGCAAGTCCCAGTATCCCAAATAAAAATGACGATCAGAACATTGGCAAAGAAGTCATTGCAGTGACCACCAAAAGTACATCTTCTAATGTACCAGAACATCCAAATGATGATGTATTTTCAGAGGCCAAAAGAAGAACTAGTGGTGTCAGGGATAAAGCAAAAGGGTCACAATTTATAAACAAAGGCTCTGCTACTAATCAAGACACATCAGGTAGAACAAGTAAAGAAAATTTTAATACAGAAAATCGGACGAGTTCAAGTAAAAAAAATAAGGGAAATAAAAAGGTCAATGTTTCAGATAAGAAACCACAATGTAAAACATCTGGGGCAAGCATCAAGTACAAGCAAAATGTAAATAAACATGAAATTAAAGTGATACGTACGAGTGAAAGGAGACATGTAGAAAAAATGTTTGATAGTACATTGTGGGACACAAGCACTTCTTGTATTAAGAAAAAACCTAAAGTTGTTGAAAAACAAACAATCACAACCGAGAGTCAACATCTAGCAGAAACAAATAATGAAAACCAGAAAGATACAAGTCACAATTGGTCTTGTAATGAATTAACTGACTGTACAACTGAAACAAAAACAAAAACTCAAATTATTGAAATACAAACAATAACAACTGTTAGTCAACATCTAGAAGAAAGAAATAAAGAAAACCAGAAAGGCGCAAGTCAGAATTCGCCATGTAATAAGTTACCTGACTCTACAACCGGAATAACAGACAACACTTTTAATGATTTATTAAGTGAAATTGAAATAAATGTACCATATGGGTTAACCGACGAACAGTTCAATAAAATGCATTCAACAACAAAAAGAAAAACTAATAGTGAACATATGGAAGATGCTAAAATACAGCAAACATTCAGATTAATGAAAGATCAGTTCAATAATTTGAACTCTGTTACACGACACAACAATGAAAGTGACCAATGGGATGATCATGATGATTCTGAAAATATTACATTAAGCCTGATAAATAGTGAATCTAATTGTCAGCAAGTGGAGACATCATGTTACCAGGGTTATCAAAGTTGTCAATATAGTAGGAAAGAAAATGCAAAGATCATAAATGTAAACCCACAAATCAAAGAATGTAATGTTGTTTTAAAAGACACTCAATACGGTAGAACAGATAGAGCAAAAATCATTAATGTGAGGGTTAACCCTCAAATCAAAGAATGTTATGTTGTTCTAAAAGACGTTCTAAGAGAAAATATATTAACAGAAAACACAGCAAACAATCAATCAACTGCACTAACACATAGAAGAGTAGTTTATTCTTGTAAAGATGTAAATGAAGATGGAGAAAATTTGAATAGTTTGAGAGCAAATAACATAACAAATGAAAAAAAAGTAAAAAAATGTATGAAATCATTCAGGTCCAGACTTGAATTAAATAATCAGAAACAGATAGGAAACATTTGCAAAGGACAAAAGTTAAACAAACAAAGAAAACAAAATTTTTGTATCCCATGTGGAAAAGGGTTCAAATGTAAAAGCCTATTTGAGGAGCATCAGAAAATACATACAGACGAAAGACGATATTCACGTAATGTATGTTGCAAAAAGTTCAAGAAGTCCAGATGCTTAAAACAGCACACTCGAATTCACACTAGAGTCAGAACAAAATTACAAAAGCAGAAAACTATACATTGGTGCTTCCCTTGTGGCAAAGAGTTTCAACATATGAGTATGCTTAAAAAACATCAGCTGGAAAAGCATTCAGATGTTAGACCATATTCATGCTGCCTATGTTCTAAAAAATTTAAGAGGATGTCCGTTTTAAGATTGCACAGACGAATTCACACAGGGGAAACACCATATTCATGTGAATTCTGTGATAAAGATTTCAGATATGAAAACTCATTTCGCAATCATATAACAATGGTACATACAGATATCATGAAAAGAAAACCTTTTCTTTGTTTCTTTTGTGGAAAACTATTTAGTCAGAAGTTTAAATTTCAAATTCATGAGCTGTCACATCAAACAGAGAGAAGACAGTCAAACAAAGATTGTCAAGATTCTGACAAAAAAGTAGACAAAATAGTAGAAGGGATTATGATGAACTATCAGTCTATTGACAGCAAATCTAAATATAATGATACAAAGGTTTCAGAAGAAAATTTTAAATGCTCAAAGTGTGATGCTACGTTTAAAGATAAGGACATTTTCACACTTCATAAAGAGACAAATGTGCATTTTAAGACTTTTAAATGTGGTTTTTGTGCTGAAGAATTTGATCTTGAAAAACTTTTGATTAAGCATTTATATATCCATATCCGAAAGAACAGTTATCACAACAATGATTTAAAAGGAGAGGACAAGAAGAACAACACTATGAACAGAGAAAAAGAACAAAGCAATAGTGGCATTCACATGTTTAAGGTTACCAGTAATAAGGAATATCCACTGAATTCAAATGAGAAGCATACCTGCTACCAATGTGACAAACAGTTCTGTTCTTCTAGCTTATTGAAATCACATGAGTTAACACATTCCATGCCAAGACCCTCAAAATCCCATTCAAATAAATGGAAATTTAATTGTTTTGAATGTAATGCTGGCTTTAATCACATGAGCAAATTGAAAATCCATGAGAGCAGTCATGCAGGATTTAGGATTCAGCATTGTGATCTTTGTGGTCAAAGTTTTCGAGATAAATATACTTTAAAGATCCATAATCAGATACACACTGGCGAGAATTTGTTCAATTGTGAACTGTGTGACACAAGTTTAAAGGAAGGAAGTAAACTACAAGAACACAGGAGGAAATACCATACTGGTGAAAAACCGTTTAGGTGTTCTGTTTGTTTTAAAAGATTTCATGCAAAACGTTTGCTCAATAAACACACAAAACGACATCATTCATGTTCTCAAACAAAAACTTCAAATGTCATGCAATGCAATGAAGAAATCCAGATACCAATCAGTAACAATTTATGGCTCATCGAAAAAGCAGTGCCTGAAAAAAATGAAAGGTTTGTTTGTTTACATTGTGGAACTGGATTTCATTACATATCTAGATATAAGAAACATCTTTTCACACACTCAAATGTCAAACCTTTCACTTGTGATGTTTGTGATAAATCATTCCGTCGGAGACATTCTTTGAAGACTCACAGGCGAATACACACTGGGGAGAAACCGTACACGTGTAGATTTTGTGAGAAAACATTTTCTTCTGTAACTTCATTAATTTTCCACAGAAGGAGGCATACTGGGGAAAAACCGTATTTATGTCATGTATGTGGTTTGCAATTTTCTACAGGAACTAGCTTAAATAATCATCAATTGATGCACCAGGATACCAAATTACACAAGTGCAAAACATGTAACAAAGCATTTAAGAGGCTGAGGGATTTAGACAGCCACAAAGAAACTCACAGAGAAAGTCACAAACAAGAGGATAAACTTAAATGTGAAACATGCTGTAAAGAATTTAAGTATAAAGATAGTTTAAAAACTCATAGAAGAAATGTTCATGCAGAGAATAAGCTATTTTCTTGTTTGATTTGTCAGAAAAGGTTTGCAACAAACCAAGAGTTAAATCAGCACATACGTTCTCATACTGGAGAAAAGCCTTATGAATGTGATTTATGCCAAAAAAGGTTTAGTATACAAAAATCACTAAACGATCATCTACGTGTGCACTCTGGAGAAAAGCCATATGTCTGTGGCATCTGTGGAAAAGGATTTAGCCAGTCAGGAAGTCGTAATGCACACCGAAAAACTCACACTTTATCTAAGCAGTACGTGTGTAAAGCTGGACAGTGTGTAAAGGAATTTACTTTTAAATGTAATTACGAAAAGCACATGATAACACATACAAATGAAAGGCCGTTTACCTGTAAAGTTTGTAAAAAAGGGTTTACTCAAAGCAGCAGTTTGAATACACATTACATATTACACAAGAAAGAGTTGAATTCAAAGAATCATGATGAGAAAGAACTGATTCAGATTGAATCTTTTACACATGTTTCAGCTGAATCCGAAAAAGCGAAATTCGTTCAAGGAAAAGTTAAAGTAGTAAATCAGACTTTAACGAAGTCAAAGTTTACAGTAACTCCTTCAATGATGGATGAAGGGAAGATGTCAACACAAAAAGATGTCACGGAGGAGGAAGCTGATCCAAAAGTTTTGAATTTTAAAACCGCACAAAAACAATTGACTAAATCAGATGGACCTAACTATCCTTGTTCTAAATGTGGAAAAGTGTTTAATCAAAAGTATAGTTTAAACTGGCATCAGCAGACACACTACGAAAAGAAACAATTTAAGTGTGATGTTTGTGGAAAAGAATTTAATTTTAAGGGTAATCTAAAAACTCATCTTCGAGTCCATACCAATGAAAAACCATACAAATGTCATGAGTGTGGTAAAGGGTTCAGCCAGAGCTCTAGTCTACATACACATAGTCGTTTACATAAAAAGACAGCAACATCATCTTGAAAAGAAATTAATATTATTGATTTTATTATTCCAAAAATAAAATTTCAATTGTTAGACTTAGAAGTTGCCTTCCTATATACCCACCTAAAAAGCAGCTTAACCTGAACATTTATACAAAATGTTTTTTCAATTTTTCTTTTTAAATTCGTTTCCTGCTCTTACCTCCTTTTTTTTTTTAAACATGTGTTACTTTTGTTGGCCAACCATCCGAACCCTACCATGCATGTGTATGCAACATCAAACACATAATTTTTTTTAAGGATGGCCTTCTTAAAAACTGTAATCAGATGAATAAAATATTTTTTTTTTTTTTTAGAAAAATTATTCTAAAATGCAATAGAGCAGCATGGACTTAATGAAGTTTTTATATATTTTTTATATCAAAATTAATATGAAATTAGCAATGTATTAAAGGGTTCTTAGCTGTCAAATTCATGTTCACCGATTTGACTCATATTGTCATATTTGATTTACAACATACTAATAAAAAAGTATATCCAATTTATAAAAAGTCTTAAATAAACAATTTAGAATGCATTGGCTCGATAATATGTATTACCAGTTTGTGTGTATTTTAGTCTAAATGCCATATGATTAATCATCAGGGTGACCTCCGATCACTGCCGACGGTCATATAACCCGATATAAACATACATATATATATATATATATATATATGAATAGACATCCATTTCTCAAATCAACGTCCAAATGTGACGTCACATTCTCAAATCAGTGTCCAATATTTTGACCCTCAAATTGACGTCCAATGGGACGCCAAGTTTATTGCCCAAATGACGTCCGAATTAATGATTGTAGTTTCTCTAATCGATGACCAATATCATGAAATAATAAATTATTGCACGTATACATGTACATGTATAAGACTTTGATTGATTTTGGAACATTCAAATATGAATAAAAGATGAATTTCTGTCTGTTTGTTTTCTCATAACCCAATTTTCAATCCCGGAAAGACATTTTTTTAGAGATTTTAACAACCCGAAATAGGTAACAGATATATTAATATTCATTTGCATAAGGTCGATTTGTATCCGGCATTCATATTCACATTGTCAAATGACAAGTGAATATATGTCAATGCAGGAACATATTTATTACAATGAGAAAACAACCAATGACAAAAAACAAAGCCAAACGACATAAAGAGGGCAACATTCAGTCTCAATTAACAATGAACAAAATAAAGAAGTACAACCAACTGTTTTGACAGTATTATAATTCGGACTCTGTAATTAATTAAGATATTTTTCAACAAAATTCTGAGCTTTAGTCCTAGAGTGAAACATATACGAAAAAGTTGGCATTATGTTTTCGTGTTGTTCTGTCACACCACTGTTCCAGGTTAGGAGAGGGTGAAGCGCTCACAAATATGTTTAACCCTGCCAAATTCCTTATATGCCTGTAGCCCAGTGGTTGCCCTTGGTTTGTCATATTTGTTTTTCTGAATTGTTTTGTTATAAATAAGACCGTTAGTTTTCTAGTTTGAATTATTTACATGTTTCATTTCCTGGCATTTTATAGCTGCCTTTTTGAATAGTTTCTGAAAAGAACCCCACATTTACGGCTACAAACATTCTTCAAGAAAAAGAACTAAAGGGAGTCATCTGATGTCTTAGGCGACATAGAATTATTTATAGATCTTGTCCTGGCTGTTGATTAGTTTTGCTTTCTCTTTTTTCTACTATAGTTTACAACAAAAGTACATATGCTGAAATGTCTCCTCACTCTCGCCTGCTATACTGACCATTGATTTTACGTTGCTAGTCCAAAATATAAGTTTAACAACTATAGTATCACATAAACTTAACATGATACAAGAAAATGAGGACAATGTCAGATAAACCAAGCCAGAAATACATGTACACCTTACAATCAATCCATACACCAAATATTGTTGACCTATTTCTTATACATGTAATATGCAAGAAACAGACCAAACCATGAAATCTTTATATTGACCAATGAACCATGAAGATGAGGTCAAAGTCAGATGACCCCCGCAAAATAGAAATGTATGGCACATTACAACATTCCATGGATCAAATATAATTTGCCGATTGCATATAGTATTTAAGAACCTTGAAAGGTCCTCAAGTTTAAGCAGGGAAATTTAACATTGACCAATGAACCGTGAATATGAGATCAAGGTCATATGATACCTGTCAGACATACATTTTAGCTATATAGTTTATAAGAAAAACAGACAAAAACCTAACATTGAGCAATGAATCATGAAAATGAGGTCAAGGTAAAAAATAACCTGCCAGACGAACATGTACATTATAAAATATTACCATACACCGACTTGAGTTGACCTATTGCATACAGTATAAGAAAAACTTATCAAAACACAGACTCAACTTTAATCACTGAAATATATCGATGAGGTCACGTCAGATGACAACTGCCAGTTGGTAATGTACACCTTACAATAATTTCATATACCAAATGTAGTAGAATGATTGTTTATAGCAACTGACACATGAAATAAGGTCATGGACAAAGGTCACACAGAAACGTCATAACTTAACGGCATCTATATACAAAGTATGAATCATCCAGGTCTTCTCAACTCTGTAATATCCAGCTTTAAAGTAGCTAGTTAACGCCGTTGCCTGAAAAAATTGAGAAAACATTGGGTTTTGACAATGTTGACTTATTTATAGATATTGTCCTATCGATTGTAATGCCATATATAATTTCTCTAATATAGTTTTAAGGCAAAAAAAGATATCACAAGGATGATTGTGGTCAAGTTTGGTTCTAATAAGTCCAGTAGTTTAGAGCAGAAAATCTTTGTAAAATTGAATGGATAATGATGGAAGAATTAATATTGTCTACCTAATACCGCAGTCACACTAGGCCACGATCGCACAACGATCTTTGAAAAAATGTTAATTTTGTCGATCGTAGTGCGATCTTGTAGATCGCAGTAAGGTTGTGGTGAGGTCTTCATGATCGTGGCCAATTTTGAACATGTTTAAAACAATCGTGGTGCGGTCGTGGCGAAATCGGGTCGTAGTGGAAGCGTAGCGAGAGCACAGTAAGGTCGTGGTAAGATCGCAAAAGGTCGCTGTACAATCGTAGCTAGAGCGTAGCGAAAGCGCGAGTCTTGTCGGAGAGATTGCTCTATGATCTCACAGTGATATTACTACGACCTCACTATGACCATCACGTTCTCCCCGCGACCCAACAACGCTTCCACTACGACTATACCACGTTTATACTACGCTGTTCAAAACCATATTACGATTCTAGCACGCTCATGCCGTCTTCATCACTCTCGTCTTAAGACCTGACTACGTTCATACTACGACCATTTTGAGTTCTAGCCATGCTCATTGTCAATGTCACATAGAATATATAAAAGCTCTCCAGATTTTGTTTGTCTGTATGTAATTTGGACCTCATGTCCCTAATTTCCAACAGCTGCTCAACCATGCTTGACACATCTGTATCATTCCCACTATTGTTCAATAAAATATCGTCATTTGGTCTTGATGGATCAGCAATGCGTTGTGATTAAGGTTGGATTGGTTGATCCGACATCTCTACTGGATCAGGATTCATTTCAGAAACCCCTCTGACTCAACCTCTACCCCTACCAGTTCTGGTAGATTTTGGTGGCATGCCTGTGTTGTTTTCGAGAATTCTACGTATTAATGACAATTAGAAGGAATGGAACAGTATTTATAATATCAAACATTATGTTGACGTTATTGCTAAGAGCGTAGTTATAGATCGCAGTATAAACGTGGAAAGATCGTAGAATGATCGTGGTAAATAAAGGCAACAGTAGTATACCGCTGTTCGAAGAGCGTGCTATAATCGCAGAAGCGTGGTAAGATCGTGTTGCAATCGGATAAATCTTGGTATGGTCGTAATGAGAACGTTTTGAGCGTAGTAAGATCGTGATAATCGTAGTGAGGTTGCAGAATAAGTGTGGTGAGAACGTGGTATAATCGTAGCTGGGTCATTGTAGAAGCGTATTGAGGACGTAGTAGCATCGTGAAAACAACGAAAATCTACATTTTCATGCCGCTCTTACCGCGACCCCACCACAATCTGAATTTATTTCAGATCGCGGTGAGCGTGGTGCGATCGTGGTCTAGTGTGACTGAGGCAATAGGACAAGATGACATAAAGAGGAGAGTACACATAAAAAAATAGTTGCAGAAAAACAGAAAACAATAGCCAAAGAGAAAAAAGGCCTCAAAGCACTAAACAGAAATAAACTAGAGGCTCTTAAGAGCCTGTGTCGCTCACCTTGGTTTATGTGCATATTGAACACAGGACACACATTATAGACAAGAATAGAATTCATGACAAAATTCAATGTTTTGGTGATGATGACTTGTTTGTAGATCTTACTTTACTGAACATTCTTACTATTTTCAATTATCTCTATCTATAATGAATTTGGCCCAGTAGTTTCAGAGGAAAAGATTTTTGTAAAAATTTACAAAAAATTATGAAAAATTGTCATTGAAGAGCAATAACTCTTTAAGGGGTCAATTGACAATTTTGGTCATGTTTGACTTATTTGTAGATCTTACTTTGCTGAATAATTTTGATGTTTACAGTTTATCTTTATCTATTATAATATTCAAGATAACCAAAAATTTCAAAAATTTCCTGAAAATTACCAATTCATGGGCAGCAACCCAACAAGTGGTTGTCTGATGCATCTGAAAATTTCATGGCAGATAGATCTTGACCTGTTGAACATGTTTACCCCTTTGTCAGATCTGCTCTAAATGCTTTAGTTTCAGAGATATAAGCCAAAAACTGCATTTTACCCCCATGTTCTATTTTAAGCCATGGCGGCCATCTTGGTTGATGGGCGGGGTCATCGGATATATTTTTTAAACTAGATACCCGAAGGATGATTTAGGCCAAGTTTGGTTTTATTTGGCCCAGTAGTTTCAGAGGAGAAGATTTTTGTAAAAGTTAACGGACAATGATAACGACGACTGACGATGGATGACAGACGCCAAGAGCCTGTGTCGCTCACCTTGGTCTATGTGCATATTAAACAAGGGACACACATTACAGAATTCATGACAAAAATCGCTGTTTTGGTGATGACTTGTTTGTAGATCTTAATTTACTGAACATTTTTGCTATTTAGAATTATTTCTATCTATAAAGACTTTGGCCCAGTAGTTTCAGAGGAAAAGATTTTTGTAAAAATTTACATAATTTTATGAAAAATTGTGAAAAATTTACTTTAAAGGGCAATAACTCTTTATGGGGTCAATTGACCATTTTGGTCATGTTGACTCATTTTCAGATCTTACTTTACTGAACAATTTTGCTGTTTACAGTTTATCTGTACCTATTATAATATTCAATATAATAACCAAAAACAGCAAAATTTCCTTAAAATTATCAACTCAAGGGCAGCAACCCAACAATGGGTTGTCTGATACGTCTGAAAATTTCTAGACAGATAACTTATCACCCAATGAACATTTTTATCCCATGTCAGATTTGCTTTAAATGCTTTAGTTTCAGAGATACAAGCCAAAAACTGCATTTTACCCCCATGTTCTATTTTTAGCCATGGCAGCCATCTTGGTTACTGGCCGTGGTCATTGGATACATTTTAAAAACTAAATACCCTAAGGACGATTAAGGCCATCTTTGATTTAATTTGGCCCAGTAGTTTCAGAGGAAAAGATTTTTGTAAAGATTACGAAATTAATGAAAAATTGTGAAAAATTGACATTAAAGGGCAATAACTCTTTATTGGGTCAATTGACAATTTTGGTCCTGTTGACTACTTTGTAGATCTTACTTTGCTGAACAATTTGCTGTTCATAGTTTATCTCTATCTATTATAGTATTCAAGATAATAACCAAAAACTGTAAAATTTCTCTAAAATTACCAATTCATGGGCTGCAACCCAACAAGGTGTTATCTGATGTGTCTGAAAATTTTACGGCAGATACATCTTGACCTGATGAACATTTAACCCTATGTCAGATTTGCTCTAAATGCTTTAGTTTCAGAGATACAAGCCAAAAACTGCATTTTACCCCCATGTTCTATTTTTAGCCATGGCATCTATCTTAGTTAATGGGAGGGGTCAATGGATACATGTTTTAAACTAGATACCCTAAGGATGATTAAGGCCAAGTTTGGTTTAATTTGGCCCAGTAGTTTCAGGGGAGAAGATTTTTGTAAAAGTTAACTGACGACGACGACGACGCCTTTGGGCCAGGTGAGCTAAAAATGAGAGAAACACAAACTCCATCAAAAACTGGAAGGGTTGGCTTTCTAAATATTCAAAATTTAACTGTCGAGTGGATAAATATTGTATTGCATGATATTTGGTTGTGGAATCTGTTTTCTATTGACTTTTAGATTTGCTGACAAACATCATTCTTGGGGAAAGATCTGCAAAAAGATCTTCTCTTTCTATATGACTTCGTCAGGTATGGTTGCCTTTTTTCTATGCCCTCACAATGAGAATTTCAAACAAAAGCAAGAAAAATTTGATATCATAATTGAATTTTGAACAACAAAGAACTCAGATCAAATGAACCACATGTTAATAAAAATAATAAACACAGGTCAGGAAAAGGATAAATCGACTAAGAATTAGAGGAAGATTTATAAATACTCCTCAGACTGTTTGTAAAAATTTAATTGACTTATGCACAGATATACATAAACATATAATACAATCAACAACAAAATGAACACATGTATGTTTAGAAATGATTATGTCTTTCATGATTTTAAATATTTAAATGTTTAATGAAAAACAGACACAAATGAACCATGTACATATATCTATACCAGATCATTTTAAAACATATACAGCCAAATGACTTGAGTGTGTAGGTAAAGGTAATATCTTTGGTTAGCTTGCTTGCTAGCTGAACTGTGAAGTCATTATTAGGCTAGGTATACTACCCTCCTTTAAGAGTAGACTAGTCCGACAGATAACCAATCTATCTGTCTGTAGGACTAGGCTAATCTGAAAGGAGGGTAATACATCTAATCTTATGATTTCATGGTTCAGTTAGCAATTTAGCAAGCTAGCCAAAGATATTCCCTTTACCTAAGCACTCAAGTCATTTTGCTGTAAATGCTTAAAAAAGATAAATGCTTCAGTGATCAATACATTAACACATGTATCTTGCATGTCATGTGACTGATTTTAGATGGTTGAACGTTCATTAAGAAACAAATGTTCTATGAGCATCATGTTACTCTGTACTATTATGATCCAATGACTATCTTTTCACTATGAAAATAACCAAATGACCTCTTCAAAATTTATTTACAAATGCATTGAACATCAAATTTCAAATATACCAGGCATTTTTACAATTAAGTCTTTTTTTTGGAAGAAAAAATCAGATGACCACCCCACCCTTTAGTTTCTGTCGAGGTTACAAAAAACAGGAATATATAAGGGAACGACCATTAAACTTCAAGGGGGGTGGGTTTTTTTCCAAAAAAAATATTCTGATCTCCAATTTGATGAAAAATAATAATGTGGTCAAGCAAACAACAAACAAAAATATTCTGAATTCAGATTTTCCCCATACCTTATAGCGATAAATTAAAAAAAATAATTTGATTGTTAACATTGAAAAACTAAAAAAAAAAATGTTCTCACTTAGCATGAAAAAAATCAAACAAAAAACCATAACCCTCCCCCTTACAGTCACCTGACAGTCATATAAATACACCTAATTTTTCTTAAAAACATATTACTCTACTGTTGATTAAACAGTTCACTACACTCAATTTTTCCCCCCAGAAAACACTATGTTTTCTAGTACAGTCACATACATTCACATTTATAATGATAACATTGAAAACACAATTCTTTGAAAACATTTTACATTAATTACAATCATAAAACTGACTTAGAAGAAGATATGTTATTTTAGCACTTTAAACAAGAAATGACAAGAATTATTTAAAAAAAATACATACTAGATAAATTCCTAAATTTCTTTCTCAAATAAATTATTTCAATTGCAAAATGAACATTTTTTCAACATTCTATAAAAACAACCTTTAGATTTTTTGGTTAGCTTTTGAATTTAATAAACAGAAAGAGAAAAAAAAGAGAAGAAAACTATGGCATGAATTGGAAATAGTCAGTTTTTATTTGACAAGAACAAACTAAAAGTACTTAACTCCATGAAATTAAAGAAGACAGTTGTATCTTAAAACTTTAATTATAATTTTATTTTGTTCACTACGATAAACACTCATCCTAAAGTAGGGTTTAAAAATGCATTTTTCACTTCCCAATTTAATTCTCTTATTATATTTTTTAGAAACAGCCTATAATTCATTTAGTTAACTATTACTTTATAAAAATATACTAATTACAAGAATAAGTTATTACTTGTAAATTTTGAAAAAACACACCAACTTAAAGAATAAAGCTTCACACTTAAGGACTGGTCCCCTGTAACTACAAAATAATTTCATAACAGTCTTCCACGACAGTCAGATGAACCACAATAACAGTAAAGAACTTTTCCTGGCACACTGCCAACTTCATAGTTATAGTCCCATGTCAATTCTGTTCCTGCACGTATATATCTGTAATAGAATTATAAAATAATCAGATCAGCGTCTTAAAATACTATAAAAAGTGTTGTGTTTATATTAACAACTATAATTCAAATGTATTCATGTTTTGTATAAAATGCAAATGCAATAGTTATTAAAATTTTACTGGTCATCCATTATAAAAATTCATAAAAAAGTACAACATTCCCAATGAATATGATATCAAACTATACTTTCTTTAGTTTGGTATGCATTAGAGAGGTTTTGAGTCAATGGTATTTGCACACAAGCAAAAGGGAAATTAAAAAAAGATAGTTGAAATACAAGCCCTGCAGGGATCAATTTCATAAAAAATCTTGAGAAAAAACACTCTGGAGTATTCTGAATATTTCAGTTCAACTTATAATAAATTTTTGTCGCAACATTTTTTGTGAAAAAAGAGCCCCTGCATTGTACGAAGTATTAGCAATGTTGCTGGAATATTTGGTGCTTCAATATAAACAGATTATTGCAAGTTGCCAATCCTATTGAAAATTAACACCAGAAAGTGCCTTCACTCACCACTAAGACACAAAGTTTCCCGTATCTCACTCACAAAACAACCAAATAATGAAAAGAATGTTATCTTGTAGACAGCAGATTATTTTGATAATGAGCTTATTGTTCTAACATACCTACTGTCCTCCCAGAATGTGATTATAAAAAAGATGTGGTATGATTGCCAATGAGACAACTCTTCACTAGAGACCAAATGACACATACAGAAATTAACAACTATAGGTCACCATATGGCCTTCAACAATGAACAAAGCCCATACCAACATGGTGAATCATAATTAGTCGTTTTAAAATCTTAAGCATTGTTTTTACACTGAAATGTAAATAAGGTTTTGCACTCGTTTTGATATCCATTGTTTAGGACACTGTTTACCAATCAAAAAGCTTTGAAGCAGGCCTCGATAATATTATACCCACAATGCCTTAGAGTCTGAAACAGTCATTTCTATAGTTTATCATCCAATATACTCACTGTCCAGCCCAGAAGGTGACCCAAGGGAATCTGAGATCATGTGTGTCAACAAATATATTCTGTACAAATACATTTGGTGTGCAGCTATGCTATAAATAGAAAATAAAAATAATAAATAAATATTTATTAATTTCTGTCATAAAGTCATAAAATATATCTGGTTTCTTTATCATGTTTATTGGACAAGGAAGTTCTCCAAAAACTAAAATCACTTATCATAATATTGATGCATTCAACAATGAGGAAAAACCTATACTGAAACATCATTCAGTATGAAAATAAGGAGATGTGGTGTGATTGTCAATGAGATATAAACTATCCACCAAAGAACAAACAAAAAGGGTGTTAAAAATTACAGATCAACATAATGCCTTCAACAATGAGGAAAAAACCCATACTATATAGTAAGCTATAAAATATCCAAAATAGCAAAAAGGGAAACAATTTATAAGAGAAATTTAACAGTCTTTTTTAATCTGATAATACTAAATGAAAAACATTGGTGAAATGTCCCATCAAATTTTTTAAAAGTACATACTGTAGTCAATAATAGCAATTATAACTGTCATTAGTTAAAAACAATAATATGTGGTGTCGATACGACACCATGTCCTGCTCAAATTATCAATTGTCCATGTTCAGTGAACTATTAAATCAAGTTCAAAATCATAATTTGATGTCAAATTTTTAAAACTTCACCTCTCAATTATTACAATGTATATGTATATAAAAGTTTAAAATTGATGTGACCACTACCTCATGGTAAACTACCTTGACCAAAAACTTGATCCTACAATGGAACAAACTGATGGACTGACAATTAGAAGCATAGACCGGAAGCATAATGATAAAATGAAAAAAATCAGCCCAAAAATACTCCAATCCATTTTATAAGCATAATCTGTTAAAATAATTTAATAAAACAAATTTTAATATATAGAGCTGGCTTTTATTTCAGATGGACTTCCTCTTCTAACACAATTCTTAAAATCTATATAACTTTTCTTTAGCATTAGTAAGCATTCTGAATAGAAATGTAATCAGCATAACAATAAAGTCTAAACCTTCATGTTATTCTGGTACACAATATATCTGTTTGTATTTGTTACGGACATACCTATATGGTCCGACCATTCATGTATGGTGAAACCACAGGTACTTTGGGCATGGGCATATTTTAAGTTTTTCTTAGTATTTAAATTATTATTTCAGAAAAAAAATTTCTTCTAAACTCAACTTATTTTCTTCAATTATTGTGTTCTTTCTCATATTCATATGATTTTTCTGTTATTGGAAGATCATATAAATAGGAGCAAGAAGACATTACCGTAGAAAGGCTTGTATAGTCCTCGGTTTTATTCTCCAAAATTGGACCTTCCAGACGGGGTGCGGACTATAGAGTACAATAAGCAAGAAATAAGAGAAAAATTTCAATTTCGCGGGCGAGGTGGTTTGTTTACGTTCCGCCATCTTTGTTATTTATATTGTAGAGGGCGCTCCTATCATTTTTCAAACTAATAATTTTAACTCATCCATATTAATAAGTTATTTCTATTCAATATCAAATTAATACTGATAAATATAAAAACTAAACCTTTCATTACAAATTTCTCGTTTCTTTTCAATGCATTGGTTGAAATATACTGGTATCTGCTTGATTGAAACGATACAAACATAGTCAAAAAGACAACTGTAAACCAGCTTAGAATTTGTAAACTACAAAACGTAATCGGTTATTGTTCGTTCCGTTTTGGTGTTTCATACTGACTAATATGGTTTGTATTAGCTTAAGACCCTTCAAACATTAATGTGATAGATATATTAAAGACTGTTTTACAAAAGGATGGAACTGTTTTACTTTCAAAGTCGTATTTTAGTGATATCTGTTATGTACGGATTTCGACTCTCACCGGTTAATTTCTTCTTTTACACGTGCTTTTTAAACTTCCTGTTTAAACATACACAAGTTTCGAAATTGTTTTTTAAGTGAATTAAACTTATTTTAACAATCATGAAGCGTTCTTGAATCATTTACAAGCAGTTTCAGCTTCTGTTTGATGATGGAAAACAGGTTTTTCCAAGAAAATACCGCAAACGACTGCACAGGATTTGAAATTACCGGAGTTTCATTAGACCTTTTCTAACAGTTACAAAAAGTTTTTTTACCTAAAATTTCGTGGGGAGAAGGGGGTGCGGACTATGTACCAGTGCGAACTATACAAGCCTTTCTACAGTAAATAATAAAAAAAAATTGAAATATTCAAGAAATTTTGATTTAATAAAATTTAAAAAAAAAGAAAGCAGTTTTCAATAATCAAAGTTTCTGTGAGTTAAGCAATTGACTTCTGGTTTAACAGGTCATTTAGATATTTCTTCAATTATCATGTAACAATGATTACAATATGATTGAATAGGTAAAAATTTCATTTACTCTTTATTTATGGAATACCTTTTCAATGTTTATCGTGTTTAAACCGTACCATATGAGTATATACGCATATGGTCATGACCATACAAGTATGGTCCAAATACTCATATGGTCTGGAACATATTCAACAATATATAAATAAGGAGATGTGGTATGATTGCCAATGTGACAAATATTCACCCAAGTACAAATAAAGTGATCAGACCCCCCCCCCCCCCCCCAAAAAAAAAAAAAAAACAAAAACAAAAGATAAAAAACAAAAATCAATACATTGTGTACTAGCTAATTTCTAAAAAATATGAAAACAACATGTTATAAATTTCATGTGTCTGATGCACTTTTCTGGATTTTTCACCAGGAACACTCATAGTCAAATCTTTGAAAGCCAAGGACATATTAGAACCAAACAAGAGAAGAGCTATATAACCAAAAAGAACCTAAAACTAATAGCCAAATACATCTAAGGCCAGCAGGAGTTGAAAACTTAGTTTCTTAATAATTTATAAATTTATAAACGTACAATTTTAAAAAGGCTTGTTATAAATCATGTCAGTACCGATGTATTGACTGTTGAGTTGATGATACCCTCGGGGTCTGATATAAAAATAAGATGTGGTATCATTGCCAATGAGACAACTATCCAACAAAGTTCAAATGAAGTGGATGTAAGCAATTATAGGCAACCCTATGGCCTTCAACAATGAGAAAAATCCATACTGTATGGTCGTCTATAAAAGGCCCCGACATGAAAAATATGAAACAATTCAATTGAGAAAACTAATGGCCTATTTTATAACAAAACAATTTATGAAAAACAAATATGACAGACATGAACCAACAACAACCACTGAACTACAGGCTCCTGACTTGGGACAGGCACATAATGAATGTGGCGGGGTTAAACCTGTTTGTGAGTCCTCAACCCTCCCACCAGGATAGTCCACCAGCAGAGGTATTGACCCAGTGCTTCAAAAAATGTTAAGTCAGATAAAAATTCATATTTATTAATGACAACTTACATTAAGGTATCTTCCTATGTTACCCATTGATTTAGCATCCATAATGTAACATTCTTGTCCGTCTTGAAAATAAGAACGAGTTGATATCATATCTTCTTGTTCTTCTGAGAAAAATGAGAAAAAAACGTTTGTTATCCAACCAACTAATGTTTGAGAATAATTAAGAATTGAATGCTTCTTTTTGTAAATTTATTGGGGTGTAAAAGCGTTGACCGAAGTACATTTTGTATGAAGTGCGGAAGCGCTTCATTCTAAAAATGTGCGCACGGTCAACGCTTTCACAACCCTATAAAATTACTAAAAAAAGCATTCAATACTTATAATTACATTTCTTTGCTAGGATCATGAAAACACGATTTCTATCAAGTTTTTCTTTTATTTACCTGTGCATTTATTGTGGGAGCTCATGTCATCATGAATGCATTTCATTTTGAAATGAAGGTTAATTTCAGAATGACGCGAGATTGCTGTTAGCCAATCAAAATAACGCATTATAATGAAACATACATGTAATGTAATTATTGAACTATGAATAATAAATACTTTATGAGACATTAGATATGACTTATCCTAAGATCAGGTTACGAGGGGGTCATTCCGAATTCCCAAGAAAATAAATGCCAATTTCTAGGGAAAAAAATGTGTCTGTTCCCGCATAACAACATAGACTAGTTATTCCTGAATTCCCACAAAATAAATGACTCATTCCCAAATTCCTGATAAAGGTTCTTCCGCCCTTCTCCTAAGGACCTTGTAGACTCCATTCAAAATTTGTAACAAGGATTACATCCAGTTCCATTAAAAAAATGTAAAAATGTAATTTTATGAATTGTCTACCTTGAAAAATCAGTAAATGCTAAAATTTCCCAGAATGCAGTTGTATTCATTTTTCTCCTGTTACTTTACCTTCTTCCTCTTCTTCTTTAGTTACATCCTCCATTCTGACATTTGTTAATTTCTTCCTCGGATCAGGAAGATTTTTAAACCGAGAAGTCTTGTTTGCTGTAGTACTCCTTCTTGCTATAAATAGAAAATAAAGTATTAATAATGTTGATGAATTTATCTGCTATTTGATGCTTTATAATACGAAGGCTAATATCATAAGCATGTTTCCAAGGAGAAAAAAGTAAACAATATCACACAGTTGTGAAAAAAGACAAAACAGCTGAAGTTAAGCAAATGTTTTTTTTAGGAAATGGAGGGAAAATGAGAGCATGTGTTTACTTTTATATGAAAAGAACTTGTTCCAACTATGAAGTAAGAAAATAGAAAAAAAAGCTTTTAACTAATTACACTGATCTCAAGTTGTTTTTCATGAATGAGTTACACCAGTTGGTCAATTGGCGTAAATGACGTATTCAAACAATCAGTTCTTACTGTGATGTAATAACATAAGCATTGCGAAATATTTACGGGAAAGTGCACAAATTCGAAAGTCATCTATTCACTAACTTTATGTTAGTTTAAAACAAAGAAACAAAGTTGATAAAATATGTATATAATATTACTGCAGTACTTTGACCTGACAGGCCTTGTTTTAACAGTGATGCACTTAAATATCTAATGTAAGGACTATTCCATTAAAATGATTGTTGGAGGGTAGGAATGGTAATTCTGTTTTTGGAACATGGGCATTGGCCATTTATGATTGTAGCATATGTCACTTTGCAATTAGATTAAAATACATATCATGTGTCCAAGCTTTGCCTACAAGGATCTAACAACACTCTGTTTTACCTTCTGTTCTGGTGATAATTACATCAGCCAATGAAATTTCAGCCTTCAAATTTTTGAAGGTGTGTATTAATCCGAAAGACAGAGGATCCTGAAAGTTATTCAAAACATAAAGTAGAAAGGAGCGTTTTCAGATCCTTGTAAGAAGCTTGGACACAGGATCTGTATAAATCAGATTGGTTGCTTTGATTTTTGTAAAATTACTCAAAATATGTTAGCTGTAGAGGGAATTTTGAAGTCCCCTGTCACTGTGCCACATCCATTTTAATGAAATTTCCTTAATTGCTTTTTAACAGATTCAAAATATTGCAGTTTGAAACAAATATACCATGTAGCAAGTTCAGAAAATGAAAATTAGAATTTTGAATTGCATACTTGCAGAGTTGCAAAACTCCCGTTGCAATTTTAAGACGTTCTAAAGTTGAGTTGCACTGTTACAAATTAAGAATTCCAAAGATGGAATTTCAAATTTACAGAGTTACATACATACAATTTAAGAATTGCAAAGTTTGAATAATGACACCTGGCTTTCCATACATACAATTCAAGAATTGCAAAGTTGGAATAATGACACATATGACTCTCCATACGATCATACCAAAAAAGAGAGCTTTCTGTCAAACTTTCTGAGATTCTCTTAGTATTAATGTGTTTTGGGACGAACAGACACAGAAGGACAGATGTCTCTGAGGGAGATTATTTGGGGTTATGAAGCTCTGCTTTTAAAAAAAATTTAAATTTCATGCAGAGTCTAGTCTTTAATGGTATTTATTTCTTATGGGTTTGTCCAAACCCTTGCATCTTCCTGGCTAAAAGTGTTGTTAATATATAGAATTTAAATAGCCAAATACACTTATAAATGCATTGTGTGAGTATTATGAGATATAATAATAAACTGTACATTAACATAAAGTATTCATTCATATCTGATTGCTGCAATACATTTTCAACAACCATGTTGTGAAATTTTGGGTGTCAATAGATTTTGGCTGGTGAAAAAAAAACTTGCTCCACCCCCAACCCATGAATATTTTGGTAGATGATTAACATACTACCTTGGCAGTGATTTTGACAAGTGGAAGTTCATAAAATATGACAGATAAAGATTAATTGTAAACGAATTAAAGAATTTTTCCAAACGATTCATCTTCTGGTATAAATAACATCTTTAAATATATTTTTTAGGTCTTGTTACTGTTCCAGATTTAAAAGCATGGATGGGAGGTACTTTTTCTAGACCCCAACCACCAATAATATATTATATTCCTTTTACTTTTAATTCTTACAAAATTCTAAAGAAAATGCAACCACACACAATTTATGAATTTGAGTGCCTACCATACCCCAATTTGTTTAAATCTGGAACAGCCCTTAACACATTAAATCCTACCAAATCTTTTAACACCTTCCTCCTCTGGATAAACATCTTCCAAATTAGGTTCATCTGGGGCAGGAGCAGAACCTAAAATAGGCAAGGTACAATATGAGTTGTAAACAAGAATATGTCCATAGGACACTATGCCCAGCTCACACAACGTATTCATGTACATGGCATATGAATTTTATCGTATGATAGTTCTATATATATATGATAGAATATCAATAGAATTGTAACCGGTTTAATGAACCTCAGTATATAAATCCATTGGATTTGATTTGAAAGTATCGACAAGAGCCTTGACCAATCACCAGTATATACATATTTTTATTACCTTTACTTATGTAGATATATATTCTAAAATAGTAGTAAATGGTCGCTGTGTCTGACAAGATCTAAAACTGGTGTTTTAGTTATTTATGAGAAAAGAAATGTTTGTTTGAATGAAAGTAATTAGAAATAAATAATCTTTCCCTGTTCAGTGAACTGCAAAATCTGGATCAAAACCCTACTTTTTGCATATAAGGATTGAAAACAATTTATTGATTGATTGATTAATGTTTAACGCCACTTTCAACACTATTGTGCTATTTGGTGGCAGTCAGTTTTTATTGGTGGATGAAGCCGGAGTGCCCATAGAGAACCACTGACCTTCCAGTTTACAATAATGATCATGTGGTACTACAAGTCAAGTTGAAGTAACCACAAATTAATTGTAAACTACCTTAACCAAAACTTTAATCTGATAATAACTGACAGTCTAAGGGAGCTACCATTTGATTTTTATGGGGGGGGGGGGGGGGGGGGGCTAGGATGAAAAATTTTGTCCTGTTTTTTTTTTTTAGTTGTAATCTCTGTCCTGCCTTTTTATATTTTACTCTATTCGGTCCTGCCTTTTTTTTTTTACTAGTTTATCCTGAATTTTTTTACACAAATTGTCATCCTGCCTTTTTTTTTTATCTCAAAACTCCTGTCCTGCCTATTTTTTTCAAATATCATCCTAGCCCCCCCATAAAAATCAAATGGAAGCTCCCTAACAGTGGACAGACACCAAATATAACAGTAGGGGCATTACAATTACACAGTGAATTTATTTATTAAGGATGTTCGCTCCTCAGTTTCAAAATAACAAGCTTTTCAAAAGACTGTTATAAATTAATAGTATATAAATAACGGAACTTAACATGGTAGTAAAAATGACAGGTCCCTGTCCTTGTTTTTGAGATATAATCAATTGAAAATTTGGCGGCAATAGATTCTCTTTAGATTTTTCATACTTTTAACATTGGCATCTTTTTTCTTTCAAAAACTATGAAAATAACAAGGATTGTATAAGATTTTCAAAACTGGCTTTTTAAACTATATGTAATAAAATAACAAAAAGAAAAGTAGGGGTTAGCGGGCTAAATTTTAATTGGCACTACATGGATAAATCTAGAGGATTCTGAATATCTGACAAAAAGTCAAAAACAAGAGTAGCGAACATCCTTAACCAAAACTTTAACCTGATACTATCTGACAGTCTAACAGTGGACAGACACCAATTATCACAGGAAGGGCATTAAAATTATACAGTGAATTTATCAATTAACATTATCTTCATGGAAAAGTGATTTGTCTTGTACATGTTGTAGTTGATAGTTTACTATTTATCTGCCAATATGCCTGCAAGTTATTTGTTCCATTTTGAATTTATCCAGAGCTATTCACAAAAACCCACTCCTAAATCAAGTTCTTTCATCTAAGTTATATTATTTTTAGGTTTGACTGTATATCATTACTGTTATCATTCAATACAGTCTTTATTTTTTGTCTTGATTAACTTTTAAATCTACATGCCTGGAGCTAATTTTTTGGAAAATATTTGTTAGACTCTGTTGGACTAGCTGTAGAGACGATTTCTAAAGCAATTTTACAAGCCTGGGCTGCTAGGACTGTGGTTAAGCCTAAAGACTGTCAATACATACGTCTGGATCTTTCTTGAGTAATATTTTTGGTGCCAACTTTCTTTTCTTTTTCTCTTTGCTTTTCTGTTTCCTGAACGACTGGTTCTGCATCCAGATCTGGCAGGGAATCAGAGTCACCCATAGAATCGGCTGATGCTGACTGCTTCATTGCAGCCGGCTGGGAAGATGATTTCTTATCTTGGTCTAACTCATCTTCATCATCATCGATCATTATTGGACTTTCACTCGAAGACTGTTTCACTGGGGTTGATTTTACACTCCTATAAAAAAAAAATGCCTCTATTGAAAAAAACCATAACAAGTAAATTATATTGACAATATTGTATATTATCTAGCACATACTCGTTCATTTATTAGTTTTTGTCGTTGTCGATAATTTCAGTGCTTACAATAATACAATAAATTCAAAAATTTTATGTAGATTTTTTTGCTTAAACTAGTGCTGTAATTTCAGACATTTTAGTGTGAATTTATTATTGCTATTGTTGAACAATGGACAACAACTGCAAGATTAATCATCACTATTTCAAGAAAATCATGCTACATAATCTAAATATGAAAGTTTTTCATTTTGCAAAACAGTTCTTGTTGCAATTTGTGCAATACATGTACAAAAAATTCATTTAAGACATTGCAAAAACTTCTGAATTTACAGTAACTAATTTTTACAAATGTATATGAACATTGTCCTGAAAAAACCCTCCCCCCCCCCCCCCCCCCCCCACCCCCCAAAAAAAAATTAAAATAAATAAAAACATGAAAAATAATAAAGATTCAGCAGTTGAAATCCAGTGTTCCATCCATGTTTAATGTTCCTGTAGATTGGTTTTCGGTTTTCTTGTCCATTTCTATTTAGCTCATACCGTTATATAAGGGTCATGTGACAGTTTTCCTCCAATACCGAAATAATTGTGGAAAGTATAATTATAAAGTTGGAAATATGAAGGCTTTATTTTTGCTTATTATGTGATTAGGGTACACTCTTAAACTAGACCTAATCACAAACTAATACATTGTTGACGCCGCCGCCGCTGCAGACGCCGGAAACAGCATACCTATGTCTCGCTCTTTGACTCCGTCAAGGCGAGACAACAAATCATCTCCTATAAATTTTATCTGTAGAGGGGGTGGACAGGGGGTCCCTGGTTCCCACTTCCTTCCCCTTACTCCCAGACTAAAATAGGTCAAAAACTTTTCCTAGAATATCCCAATTCTAACTCCCCCAGACTCCCACTTCCCTCCCCTCTATCTACAGCTTCCCTCTCCCTTGACTCCCACTTCCAGCCCCCTCATTCCCATGTTCCCTTACCCTGTCCACCCCCCCTGTAAATAATGATAAAATTAAGGACAACAAAAAGCAGGAAAATAAGACCTCTTTAACAGCTTTGCTCGAAAAAAATCATGAAATTTAAACTTTGCAAAAATATCTTGCACAACATTGTGTCCAAAAACAATGTGTTGACATCATAATTTTTTTACATGATGTTGCTTTTAAATGATTTTACAACTAACAATGTAAATGGAAATGTTTGAGCTAATTTTCCACAATACAAATTATGTTGGCTGTAAACTAAATCTTGCATCATGGTTAGCAAAATTAAAGAAATGAAAGGGGAAACAACTCAACTACCGGTAATGTTTTCATGAAATATAAACAAATGAGAAGTTTTATATACCAGTTAAATGATATAAAAAAATTATCAACATTATGAATAAATCATACAATCTCAAAATATAATTGAAAATATAGTTGACAACTGTAACATAAATTCTACACACTTATTCTAATGCCACTCTTGGATAGAGAGGGGAATTTCTAATATATCTATGTCATGCTTGGAAGTGTCAAAAACATCATGCAATTACTGATTCCTAGACATATAAGCATAAAACAGTAGTCCATAGATCATTTTACCAGTTTAAATGGTAAAAAATATTACGACCCTAGCAATTCAATATTTTTGACAATTTAATGCAAAATTATTTTTTGGGGGGATCGAAGTAGAAAGTAGTACAACTTCCACTCTCCTGTCTAAATTGGACACTGTTTTGATAAAGAAGACCTGTGTCAAAATTAAAGTTAATTTTACAGGTTCAAATTTTTGCAGGAAAAACACATAAAATTTGATGACTATTACATTTTCACAGATATATATTCTAAATTAACCAAGTCAAGACAGATTGTGAACTAGAAAACTGACATGTCAATAAGGGGGGCCTGCTTTTATTTTTGTGTAAAGCACAGAAACAAATAAATTAACACAGATGCACTAAACACAATGCATGTTCCTAGAGTTTCAATTTTTATGGATATCATTTTAAAGAGAACCATGAAATTTAGTTCCTTACATTATACATCTTTTCCAACAAGTTCTAAAGTATAAATCATAAAATAATGTCATTTTGGAAATGGCACCCAATAAGTTTTACTCAAATGGCACCCAATAAGTTTACTCAAATGGGAGCTAGCAGATAAATTTTGACCATAGAAATCATTTCTTGATAATACATTCTACTTCAATATAAGATTTTGTTGAATTTTGAGCACTTCTAAGGTTTTAGTATTTCTGCAGATGTCTTTAGAATGGTGGCCAACAAATATGTTTTAAAACAAGTGTTATATTTATCTTTTAAATACTGGTTAATGAAATCATAATACAGTGTGTACATGCTGGTCATTATTGTGTATGATACCATTTTGACACGCCTACATAGCTGATGCATATGCATGAATCTATCTATAAGAACAGCAAGTGTAGCCTAAAACTGGGAGCTGAGTTGTAAATTTGTAGCATAACTGTACATATGTAGATGATATAACAGAAAATTAGAACAGAAATTTATAGTTTTTAATTTTAATAATCTGAGCAAGTATTACACGGATCTATCACAAGGAATAAATTCAAGATATCATGTTGTAGGTAGATTATATCAAAATTGTTGAAATCTGGGCAATTTGAATAGTAAACTTTGAGACGGTTTTGAAAAAGTATATTTTTCCTAAAATTAGTAATTTTTCTTTTATGATGAACAACTGTAAAACTAACCATTCAATTCTATCAATACTTATAGAGTTTTTGTTTGGTAAAAGTCCAATAACTCCTTTTAAAAATTGTCAAATTATATTGTCCAATGGATTCTGAGTATTGTTATGATTTGAATGGATGGACAGTCTGTTTAAGACTACAACTCTATCCCCAGTGGCAGGTGTGAAATCTCTAAGAAAAATATTACTACTGTAACCATGGTAACAATACTTAATGGTAAATATTACCATTCTTCATCTTTTACACCTGACCTAGAGGAATCTCTCCGTAGAACTATTTTTCCTAACTGCTTCCCTGTCGGGTCAGTTCTGTTTCTTGATGACCTTCTGTGAAAAAAGCAATAACTTGTCATTCGTTAAATCTTAACAAATACTTTTAATTTGATGGACTTCATAAACTATTTCAAACCATCAAATACTTCTGAGTTATCTGTAGAACTAACAGCTAAAAGAAGACAGTCAAAGCTAAAGAAATTAAAAATGACAAAATCCCTTTGTAAAATAAAAAAATGTTGAACAAATTTTTCTGTGTTTAGTAAAAACTGAAAACAACAATTTATAAATTTCATGAGGTCAAAGCACTTTTCTGGGTGTACCTTCATCAGGAATGCTCGAAGCAGAATATTTGAAAGCCAAGGATGGCTGACAACATTCAGTTTTTTACATTTACTCTTTTGGTTGTCTGATCTAGTTTAAAAAGAGATAAAAATATGTCATTGAAACCGCTGCTGGATAACTCGGACTAAAACAAAATCGGCCTATCACAAACTCGGACTATCACAAACTCGGACTATAACAAACTCGGCCTACCATTATTTATATGCGGAAATATATTGAACAAACTCGGACTACGATTAGTAGATTGTTTTGTGTTTTTTTTTCTCACTTTAATAAAAAACAAACTTTATATATAAGAATTATTTACGAAATTTGAGATTATGATAAATATTTTTGAAAAAAACATTGTATAGAAATGTATTAAAATAAAACTTAGCTCCATCATATTAAATATGTGTTATATGAGTTGAATTTGATATGTTTGAATGAGGATAATTAACTTCTTTTTGAAATATTATTGTGATTTTCTCGTTTATTATTTTTATTGACAAAAGATGTTTTAATGATTGGCGTGTGTGCGTGTTTGTATTATGTTTAATCCTTGGTGTTCATAATTAGTATACAAACAAAGAGAAATTTGATTGACAGTGAATGGCTTCTTAACAATTTCACTAAAGGTTGTGCCTTCCATTTTGGCCAGGCAGTTTGGCGCAAGACGCAAGAGTTGGGCCTCAAGACCATATACACCAACAGGGGTGCAGAGTACAGATACATCCGATCGCTGATGGCACTTCCCTACGAGTACGTGAAGACCTCAGGCCAGATGAACCGCAAGACCTTAACTTTGTCGTGAGTAGATTTATTTGTTTATTTCACAGTACTCAATTTATATAGAATAGAGGTTATTCGTATATCGAAAAATGATTAAATGAAAGCAACAATTTATAAATTTTATACGTCCATAACGCTTTGTTGTATTTAACCTAAACATGCACGCTCAAAGCCGAAACACATAGATGTATAAAATATATAGCTATATGGAAAACCAGAAAATCATATTTATAGAGAAACAGCATACAGTACGGAAGATTTACAAGTTATTTGTCAAAATAAGTCCTTTAGTAACATTGATTAATTGTTATTTTTCTTTTAGTTGGACACAGACTATGTATGTTTTGAATGTGGTAGCTGTGGTTTAAATGTGCTATGTATGCTTTAAATGTGCTTTGACAATGATTATTTATATTTGCATTTTGTCTGTCTTGTAGATGATGACAAAATGCCTTTGAGTTTTAAAGGTGCTTTATGTGTTTTATATATGCTTCATATTCTTCGTATGTAATTAAATATTATTGAATGACGAAATCATTGTTATGTTTGTTGACATCTGCTGAAATAAAATTTGTAAACCTTATGTTTTCTTTATTATATAGTATTACATTGTACAGATAAATCACACTGAGATTCAACCAAACAAAGTATGATCAGTAACATACAATTCACTGCACTGTCTTATAATTACATAAGGTTTGTAATCAAACAAAAAATAAAATGCTTCGCTGGGCGCAGCTTGATACGACCGCAGAGGTCGAACCCTGAACAGTTGGGGCAAGTATGGACACAACATTCAAGCTTGATACAGCTCTGAATTTGGATTTTGATTAAATATTTGACACAGCATAGGTTTCTGACACAGAAAGAATGTGGTCTAAGAACTTCAATTTTTTTAATTTACCTATTATGGTCCAATGTCCAAAATCAAAATACATGGTTAGATTCAGCATATCAAAGAACCCCATATATTCAATTTTTGTTAAAATCAAACAAAGTTTAATTTTGGACCCCAACTTGGACAAACTTGAAAACTGGTCCCATAATCAAAAATCTAAACACATGTTTAGATTCAGCATATCAAAGTACCCCAAGAATTCAATTTTTGTTAAAATCAAACTAAGTTTAATTTTGGACCCTTTGGACCTTAATGTAGACCAATTTAAAAAACGGGACCCAAAATTAAAAATCTAAAAACACGGTTAGATTTGGCATATCAAAGAACCCCAATAATTCAATTTTTGATGAAATCAAACAAAGTTTAATTTTGGACCCTTTTGACCTCAATATGAACCAATTTGATAGCAGGCCCACAAAATAAAAAATCTAAATACATTGTAAGATTCAGCATATCAAAGAACCCCATATATTCAATTTTTGTTGAAATCAAACAAAGTTTAATTTTGGACCCCAACTTGGACCAACTTGAAAACTGGTCCCATAATCAAAAATCTAAACACATGTTTAGATTCAGCATATCAAAGAACCCCAAAAATTCAATTTTTGTTAAAATCAAACTAAGTTTAATTTTGGACCCTTTGGACCTTAATGTAGACCAATTTAAAAAACGGGACCCCAAATTAAAAATCTAAATACACGGTTAGATTTGGCATATCAAAGAACCCCAATAATTCAATTTTTGATGAAATCAAACAAAGTTTAATTTTGGACACTTTTGACCTCAATATGAACCAATTTGATAGCGGGCCTACAAATAAAAAATCTAAATACATGGTAAGATTCAGCATATCAAAGAACCCCATATATTCAATTTTTGTTGAAATCAAACAAAGTTTAATTTTGGACCCCAATTTGGACCAACTTGAAAACTGGGCCAAAAATCTAAAATCTAAATACATGTTTAGATTCAGCATATCAAAGAACCCCATATATTCAATTTTTGTTGAAATCAAACAAAGTTTAATTTTGGACCCCAACTTGGACCAACTTGAAAACTGGGCCCATAATCAAAAATCTAAACACATGTTTAGATTCAGCATATCAAAGAACCCCAAGAATTCAATTTTTGTTAAAATCAAACTAAGTTTAATTTTGGACCCTTTGGACCTTAATGTAGACCAATTTAAAAACGGGACCCAAAATTAAAAATCTAAATACACGGTTAGATTTGGCATATCAAAGAACCCCAATAATACTATTTTTGATGAAATCAAACAAAGTTTAATTTTGGACCCTTTTGACCTCAATATGAACCAATTTGATAGCGGGTCCACAAATAAATAATCTAAATACATGGTTAGATTCAGCATATCAAAGAACCCCAAGAATTCAATTTTTGATGAAATCAAACAAAGTTTAATTTTGGACCCTTTTGACCTCAATGTGGACAAATAGATAACGGGGCCCAAAAATCAAAAATCTAAATACATGGTTAGATTCAGCATATCAAAGAACCCCATATATTCAATTTTTGTTGAAATCAAACAAAGTTTAATTTTGGACCCCGATTTGGACCAACTTGAAAACTGGGCCCATAATCAAAAATCTAAATACATGTTTAGATTCAGCATATCAAAGTACCCTAAAAATTCAATTTTTGTTAAAATCAAACTAAGTTTAATTTTGGACCCTTTTGACCTTAATGTAGACCAATTTGAAAACGGAACCAAAAATTAAGAATCTAAATACACGGTTAGATTCGGCATATCAAAGAACCCCAATAATTCAATTTTTGATGAAATCAAACAAAGTTAAATTTTGGACCCTTTGGACCTCAATGTGGACCAATTTAAAAACGGGGCCCAAAATCCAAAAACTTAATACACGTAAGCATATTAAAGAACCCCAAGAATTCAAGAATAAAACCCCATTGAAATTGATCAAAAAATAAGCAATTTATACAAAGTATCTTCTTTTGCACAATACTGTGCAATTGAATATTTCTTCCTATTGTGCAATACTGTACAATTGACAATTTCTTGCTATTGCGCAATATTGTGCTATTGGATATTTCTTGCTATTGCGCAATACTGTGCAATTGAAGATTTCTTGCTATTGCGCAATACTGTGCAATTGAAGATTTCTTGCAATTGTGCAATACTGTGCAATTGAAAATTTCTTGCTATTGCACAATACTTATTATATAATAATTTACACATCCTGTTTGGTGTGTATCTCCTACCATATCATTATTATTTACTTTTAAATATTAATCAGAAATAACCAACTTAAAATGGAAAATTTTAAAAGAAAAAAAAAAGGAAAAAAAGAAAAAAAAAGAAAAAAAAAATCCCCCCCCCCCCCCCCAAATTTTTTGAACCCCCTTATGATTCATCACCCCCAAACTCAATCCCAGCCTTCCCTTTGTGGTACGGTACCTTGCAGTACAATTTCAGAGAGATCCATACACTTGAACACAAGTTATTGTCTGGAAACTAGAAAAATGCTTATTTTTGGCCCCTTTTTGGCCCCCAATTCCTAAACGTTTCGGGCAATTACCCCCAAACTCAATTCCAGCTTTCCCTTTGTGATATGGAACCTTGTAGCACAATTTCAGAAATATCCAAACACTTACACACAAGTTATTGTCATGAAACTAGAAAAATGCTTATTTTTTGCCCCTTTTTTGGCCCCTAATTCCTAAAATTTTGAGGCAATTACCCCCAAAATCAATTACAGCCTTCCCTTTGTGATATGGAACCTTGTGGTACAATGTCAGAGAGATCCATACACTTACAGACAAGTTATTGTCTGGAAGTTACAAAAATGCTTATTTTTGGCCCCTTTTTGGCCCCTAATTCCTTAACTGTTGGTACCATAACCCCGAAATTCAATCCCTACCTTCCTTTCGTGGTATTGAACCTTATGGTAAAATTTCATGGAGATCCATTCATTTAAACTAAAGTTAGAGTGCGAAAACCAATGTGTCTTCGGACGACGCCGGACGACGCCAGACGACGACGACGACGACGACGACG